CAAAACAATTTATCCTCAATATAAAGGACAGTATTTCGTAAGATTGCTATGTCTATTGCATTAAGTTCTACAGCAACAACATTTTTTCCCTATCTAGAGCATAGTGGAGATATTATATATCTGGCACTAGTCCATAACAGAACATGTCAAATTTCAATTATTAACAATCTACACAAGCATCCTAGTTACCATGGATCAGGAATGGTAGGGGTCCTGAGTTGGGGCAATACTGTAGTAAGTAGAAATTGTCATTGTTATAGTTGGTTCATTGGACATTAAATCCTAAGAACTATCATTTGCTTTTTAACTCATAAAACATATGACCAAAACATATATATTGAGTTTCCTGTATACTTACTGATTTCGATGCATGTCAAAATATTAAAAAAACTTTCAGCTATTTGTTATTCTATTTCACATAAATAAGTACTCTATAGAATAAAATAACAGGACAACATTAGGAAACAAATTATAACTATATTTTAATCTTTTGCAAATAAAAAAAAGCTGAAACCATCCTTATCAAATACTGCTTTTATCTGTTAACTGTTTTTGTTATAAGGGGTGGATGATAGTTAAAGGTCTAAATATCAATTTATAAGAATCTTTAGACAGTACATTCTCTAAAAATAATCGATACTGCAAAAAGTTATAACAATTTATAACACAGCTTTTCAATTGAAAATATTATTTCAAAACTTTAAAGTTGGACAGACAACCAGGCCCTGAAATAGGAGTAACCACAAAGTTGCCTGAATAACAATGCCTGTTCTTTGAGTTACATTTATTTGGGTGACTAAAATTCAGTCAGCTAGATGGATCATATGTGACTTAAAATGGATGGCCTTAGTGTGAGAAGACCTCAGCAGATTTCTGAGGACATCTTATTAAATTAAAATTTCAACACTAAATTAATAATTACAAGGAGTTTAAATCTAAGATTACCTCAAAAATAATGCATGTTTTAAAATAACTTTCCACAGCTGTACTATCTATTACAAAAGATTAACATGCCAAGGCCAAGCATATTTATGATGAATGGAAACTCAAGTCTTCACTTTTGTTTAATTATTTTAATCATAATCAAATAATTTACTCTACCATGCTAGCTCCTCGCGCGGGATCATTACCGTTGGGGAGCGTCCCACTAGTCCCATAATCAAATAAGCCGAATCACTTCCATTGCAAAATGAGAGAAAGCACAGTTTGGTAACCTCAAGTCTAAGTGAAAGAGAAAAGTAATTTAGATATTATTGCTAAGCTATATATAAACTATACATGCTAAACTACAATATTCTTAATATATTTCTAGACAACGAATGAACTTCCAGAATGCAAAGGATGTGGTCTACCGAGCACAGTAAAATTCCTCCGTCGAATGAAAAAGTCGCTCATTTCGGCAGGAGTTACTGAAGATGACTGGGTTACATTAGCATCCTCTCGCCTCAGAGGTAATTTGAGAGCAGCTTGGGAAATTAAAAGCAAAAGTTCACCAAACATGAAATGGTCTGAATTTAGTGATTTTGTTGTTAATCAAGCTTACAGAAAAAAGTAAGAATCTAAACCTAAAATTTAACTATTTTTTATCTATATTCAATATTTAATAGTTGACCATTGCATTATAAAGGAAGGAGATGGTCCGGGGTTGCGGTCATAAATAGACTAAATAGTGGTAAAACTATTTTATTGAAAGCCAACGTTTCGACCCGATTTTGCAGGTCTTCATCAGGGAGGTGTGTTCATCTAGGAGTTTCACTTAGAACTCGACTCATAAAAACTCATAAGAACTCGACAATAAAATAGTTTTACCACTATTTTTTATCTATTTTGAAAATATTAACTTGATTTATTTTTTTTTAATGCTTAATTTTCTTTAACATCACAGTAAATTAGAATTCTCAAGCACTAAATTTATCTAACATTTACAGGAAAATTAAAGGTGAAGAACAACGTATAATGAGGAAAGGAAATATTTCCATGGAAGAGTTTCTTCTTAAAAATAAAAAAGAAAGTGAATAAAAAGTTTATTTATAAACAAAAATTATACAGAAAATATACAAAAGAAATGTTTTTTTTTTAATATTAATTTTAGCTTGCTTTTCTTGATTTCCGTCCAGTTACCATACTTTTTGACTTCTCCCAAATGCTTTGATTCAGAGAAGTTTTTCCATAACTAAGGGACAATAATCTAAAAAAAAAATAATATTATCAAATCCTGATAAATCATCTATTAAATTAACGAGAAAAAATCTTAATTCTTAAAATTTAGAAATGATTGCTGATCAAAGAGTTCTTCTAATATTAGTTAACTAAATAGTTATTAATTTATTAATAATAACACAGAAAGAGTTATGTTCTGACAGTATCAAGACATAATAAATAAATTGACATAAAGTAAAACAAATATAAAATATAACAAAATAATCAAGGAGTAGAAAGTTAAATGCAAAACATAAAATTTAACATTTTTATTTGTATATAAAATACATTACTATCAAGAAATTTATGGATAGATACATAGTTGACCACCAAAATTATGAAGTTGACAAATAACCAAAATATGCAGTCTTTATACGATTGCCGACATTTCAACCCAAGTATGTGAGTCATCATCGTAAGTTATAAAAATTAAAAAATGAGATATAGAGAGAGATATGTAAATAAGACAAGGTAAAAAGATGGAAAGTACACTTGAGATAACAGTTACATAAACATAATAGTATGCCAAGAAAAAATTAAATAAATTAGCATATAAAAAGTAAAAATAAATCAACTAAATGATTATTACAAACAAATTAATTAATAAATAAGAAGTATGAAAAAAAAAACAGAGATAAGAATAACTGAAGTATTGTTTAAATTTAAAAAAAAATTATTGAAATACAAAGGCAACATTATATTGTAAGATATAACAAAAAGAATATGAATAAGTGTGAAGGAGCAACATATGGAATCAATATTAAAAAAAAATAAATAAATATAAACTAGTCGGCCCATACCAATAATTCACAGAATTTTATTTTGTGAAGGATTAGCAAAACAATATGGAAATAGGTAGATCCTATGTATTATGTGAGGGAGGAATAAAGTGTGTTTTTCTTGGCCGATTACAATATTCCATGATAGATTAACATAATAGACCAGAATATTAGTACAACTTACTAGGACCTATTTTTGAATGTTTACAGAAAAGGTAGTATTAAAAAAAAAAGCCTCGATCATGAGATTTTCTAAATTATTAAAAAATATAAAACGCATTAACTAAATATGTCTTTAAGAAATAATAAAGTATATATCTGTCAGAAAAAATGAGTAGCATAATAGTAAATCCAGTATACAACTTTCTAGGAGGAAGAAATTATTAAATATACCAAATCAAATGAATTGTGTTTTTGTTAGTAATGGTCCGATTTCCATGATTTTTGTTAGTTATGTAGGGATTTAGTAATCTTCCTAATAATCATATGAACAATTGAGAAAAAACATTTACTTTTTGAGTTATTCACAAATAAAGTTTCTTTTCTTTCATTAATTTGTTCCTAGAGATTTCAGAGGGATATGCCTATGTTTTGCACGTGAAGGAGATCTTCAAAATGAAAGATCAAATCATTGGATTTGATAAAGAATTCCTGAAGAAATATCGTACCGACAAAAAAACACCTTTTAGAAATAATATAAAAAGATAGTAACTTAGCAATTACCAATTGTTACTGGATAGACTAGCAACAAGAACTGAGAATGGACGAATGTGAATTTGGGTGGGAGGATAGTAATTAATGGCTACTTAACAGAAAATGTAAATGTTAAAATAACCTAATAAGATAATAATTTAAAAACTCCATAAATAGATAAGCAAAGAAAAAAAAATGGTAATGAAATTAAGTCTAGGCTTGGTAAGAATAATGTAGTATGACTAAGAACTAGGAATACAAAGTAATAACTAAGGTTGAAATTAAGAACTATATAACAATGACAGGAAACAAAGAAGAGAACATTGATTTTTTTTTTCTACTGATTTTTATTTAGTTTTTGTTGGCGTACTATTATGTTTATATTACATTATCTCAAACGTACTTTTCTGATGTCATTTTTAAATTTTTAACCTTGATGACCCACATGCTGGAGTTGAAATGTCTAAAATCTAATAAATCAACTAAACAGTGACATATTTTTTTTATTTATGAATATTTCTATTTATAACATTTTAAAAAATCATTGCATAACACATTCACCTGCCACATCAAACAAATTTTGGCATGAAACTATAAAATTTGTTCAAAAAACCTAATTGAAAATAATAGAGGGTCTTTTAAAATAAATATAGTTTTTGTTTTTTTGAAAACATGGCTCCTTTTGGATTCTCTGTGGCATCAGATGTGATATTTTTGTTGCTCATTTTAAAAAACACACTACTAAAATGAATCCAATGATTAAAAATGTCTTCACAGCCTTTCAGAATAAGGACAATGAAGATAAATTTAAAGGAAAGGGAAACTCTGAAAAACTCCTACCATCACCAAGTGATAAAACTAGAGTAAGAAAACTACACTTGAAAAAAATGCAATTTGTGCACAAGGATAAATAATGCAAAAGTTAATATTTCTTGCAACTACTGCTAAAACTTTTTATATAAGATGCATATTTTTAAAAAAGTAATGTGAGGGATTAATTTTTGTTTTGATAAAATATTAGTTTCTTTTTTACATTAAAACATTTTGGTAAATTTATTTTTTCTTTTCTAAACCAATAATCTCTTTATTTACTAGTTACTAGATTAAGGAACATTGATAATGTTCCCATCTGTGCATAAAGCTGTAATTAATATTAGTCAGTAATTGTTTTGGTACATATTTTTTTTTAAATATTTCATAATCAGGAGATTATTTGATATTTTCCTATAAATTACAATGAAGCTAAGACATTTCATTAAATAAAACAAAGAATTTCTGTATTAAGTAGTTTCAATAAACTGTTTAGAAACAAATAACAGATAAACATACCTCGCAATAACTAATAATTCATGTAAATCATCAACAGAAAATGTAGAATCCTTTTGTCGCAATTCAACAAAATCATTTTGGACAATCTAAAAAGATAAATAAAGGATAAATTAGGACAATAAGCAATAATGAGAAAAATCAAAATTATTTCACAAACATAAACTTTTATATAAAATATGCCAAAAATTATATTTACATTCTGAAATTCTTCGGGTAATTTGTAAGTAAGATTGGCTGCAACCGTGAGATAAATTCTTATTTTGTCTAGCAAAGGACCAGTTAAAAATTTATTTATTGATGCTATATTATCTTCAACATTAGAAGATGAGTGTTTGTCTGGTGTCAGTTCAACCTGTGCATCATACTGAAAAAAAAAAATTAACAAAAAATATAAATACAATCATATTATTTAGTTAGAAACACTGAGCCGTGAGCACAAAGAGTAAGAGACAGCTGAAAGGAGGAACTACATTCCGAATAAGTCTCATAGCCTTTTCAAAAATATATATATATATATATATATATATATGCTTTTGGGCTGAAGCCCCCAAAATTAAATCTTGGATCCGCTAGTGTCACTGACAGAGAAGAGTGGTTCATTATAATATTCACATTATAATTATAACTCACTAATAAAATAAATTTATTTAGTAATAATTTTACAAAAATTTTAATTGTGAAGAGCATTCCATTTATACATTACATAAAAGCTGTTCTCAACATTTTTTTTGTTTTTCACATTTTTATCTGAGCCATTTATAAACTGACATGTACTTACTTAAAAAAACAGATATTCCGAAACTGCTATATCTCCCATACTTGGCTAGATATTAAGGTCAAAGTAACAACTTATAAAGTATATTGACAAAAATAAAATAAATCAAAGTATACTTATGCTTAATGATGGACATAGTTTTACTTACAGGTAAAATTGAAGGAGACTGAGACAACACAAGGACAGGAATGTCTGTACAGAAACCAACATTATAATAAGTGAAGTCATAATCGAGTTTTTGGCGTTTGATCAGACTCATAAGAGCATTTACATTTCTAACTCCTGAAAAATAAATAAATTTCAGTTGTTTATATTATTCAAATCAAGAATTTTTAATTTAAAAAAAAAATTTGTAAAATGATTATCTACTTCACGTATTACACCTTAATGACCAGCCAATCTCCTTCTACTCCTCTGTTAAAAATCTAGGATTTTTCATAGATCAAACCCTCCCCTGGAACCACCATATTTCTCACATCTGCCGAAGAACAATTTCTACCCTTAAACTATTCCATCGCTTCCGCCATCTCCTACCTCAACATACGCGTAGACTCCTAGTTTCCTCTCTCATCTTCCTCCACTTTGACTACAGTTTTGTGGTGTATGATGGCCTCTCGATGGAGCTCCATGATAAACTGAAAAGACTAATGAATAGCAGTGTAAGATATGTAATTGGCGCCCCGAGATACTCCCATGTCTCTCACCTCTACATTGAGTTAAGGTGGCTCTTTCCCTCCTTTCGCAGACAATATTTCCTAGGTACTACTTTCCTTTATCAAATCATCAACAATCATCGTCCTTCTTACAACTACAACCTTCTCCAATTCAAGTCCTCAGTCCATTCCCTTTCCACAAAATCAACCTTTACATTCCGTCTCACAGACCTGCCTCATTTCAAAACTCCTTTATTACTCGTGCTGTCAATTTCTAGAATTCCCTACCTATCAAAATTCGGCATTTCTCCTCCATATCCACGTTCAAAACCCTTTTATTCCGATTCCTATCACCAAAACAGTCAGATACTGGCTAAGCTTTTGATATTATACATTTTTATTGTATCATTCATCATCAAAAGATAGTACTATTCCATACTGTAAACTTCACTAGGAATATTATAATATCTTCCTACTCTTAATGCTACTGAATGTGTGTTTACATATTACTCATTATTTAAATACTCAGACATTTTATATTTTCAGATTCGTCTTTCCTTTGTTAGCAGAAACACAGAGCTTATTTTAAAGAAGAACTTGATGTATTTTTCATTTATATTTTCTCAAAAGTGTATAATTATAATTTTTTCTACTGTACATAGTTTTAAGTGTTTTGTATAAAGATTTATTATTTTTTTGTACATAGCTTGTTTAACTAATATTTTCTTTACTTTTTTTTTTTTTTTTTTATTATTGTTTTATTTAGGCCAGATGTAGTCTTTTAATTTTATACGATTTTGTTATTCTAAAGGGACTTTGTTCCAGGATAAAGTTACTAATTCATGAATGATTAATAAATAATCAGTCCTACACAACACATTATCTTTCTAATTGTATTGATAGTTAAACAAGTCATAACCAAAAACACCTCATATCTTAAAATAAAAGAAGTTTATTACTATTTTTTATTACTTGAATAACAAATGTTGTAAATAAACTTTGTAGTAACCAGCAATTTAGAGGAATAATTAATAGTAATAAGACATAATTTGATGTCATTTTAATTCAATGCCAAGAGGATACTGCAAACTAAATTATTTAGTATTATTATTTAAGTTAACATTTTATTTTTTATATTTCTGTATTTTAAAATAAATGATTTACAAGCATCAATGCTACTAGGTATTCGAGGTGTAAGAGGTGATGGAGGTCATCAAATTCATCCTCATCATTAGGTAATGGATCCCAATATACATAACCTTATTATTAATAATAATAAGCTTTATGAATTGTTTGTTATAAAAAATTTACACTAAAATAAAAGTATCCTTTCATATAGATTTAATTGATGAGTTGTAGTGCCATTAAAATTGTAAAAAAATATATATAATAACAAATAAATTAAAAATTTAAATAGCTCTAATTTTATATTTGTTTAATTTTATTATAAGTTATAATGATTTTGAAAGGGATCCTAACTATGATAATTTGAAAAATAACTCTTAAATTAAAGTACCAGCATCTTCAAGTTTCCCTTCATCAAGTTTGGTTTCATCAACAACCAAATGAGTATTATCAGATAACTGAAGAATGCCTTGTTCTAAATGGCCTGTTTTGTAATTTTTCCTAAAATAAAAAAATATATCAGCTTATTAAATAAAAAAAATACTTGTTATTTATAATAAAAGTACCAATAAAAATTGATGCATGATATTTATTCTTATTTTATTTATAAATTTTTATTCATGCAGAAATTTCTAAACTAGATCTTGAATGAAGGCTAAGCCATTATGATGATTATTGAATAGTTATTTCAGTAATGAAACTATTCTTTAACTATAATGAACGTATATAATGAAAGCGACAAGGAATTAAAGTGGTCAAAGTGCATAATCTACGACTTCAGGCTATTCTTGGGAGACGGAATAGTTTCCCTCTGACCACAATTTCCTGATTTATTTCCTCACTAATCTCAGAAACATACTGTTTTAAGATATAAAGTAGCTACAAAGGGTATCTCAAAGCGTAATTCCCCTCCTGACGGCCTATTAATTTCTGACAAGAGTAAATCATGTATCTAATTATTGTATATAGCAAAACATAAAACACTTTATAATTATGAATATACCTTAAAATGTAACAAAGTTACAGAAAAAATCATTTGATGCATCAATTGTCACATGTAATAATTCAAACTATTATAATTATTATATTATTGGGTATATTAAAAATAAATTTAAAAATATATATATAACACAAGCAAATTATATGAAAATTTGTAAACTGTAAAAAAAATAAATAAATAAAAGTAATAATCAAAGTAAAGAAAAATGTAAATTAAATGAGCAAGAGGTTGGCTGGGAGAGGGGGGGGGTGGAGGAAGGAAAGCAAATTTGGAGAAAGAGAAGATATTGATGTTTCAAGTGACGAACTATTGCTGAACCCGGGGGCGGAATGGCCAAGCCACGCTAACACGTGCAAAACACCTGTTGCCCGGCAACCCAATTAAGAAGATAATATGATAAAATAACTACGAATTCACATCCCGATGCTCAAAGGGCTTTTGACTCTGGCATTAATCCCTTGTCCTCAGCCCTGGCCGGGAAAAACACGTATAGCCTGGAAGGCGAAAAAAAAAAAAAAGTTACTGAACCCACACTGATAAAGGTCTACAACCTAGGCCATAACATCAGTACATATTAAAAGATGTATTACACTGATTTCTTTCCAAACCTTTCTCACAACCTATTTCTTTGTTACATCTACAGCAAGTGATATTTCCAACTTTATAAACTATGTATTATATTTTTAAAAATATATATGGTATACTTACTTAGATAAAAGTTTTGTTTTATTTAAATTTTCTATTGTAAAAGGATAAAAATGTATCTTTGGTAATAAATTACTTAAAATTTGGAATGTAGATTCAGCAAAATTTGCTCCAGGGATGTTTGAAATATTAAGACTAAGTTTTCCAAGAACTTCTTCATTGTCATTTCTATGATATCTGCAAATAAATCACGAATCTTATCATTAGACTTATAATAATGTCAGCACTAAATTACTTTGAGAAAACATATTAATTTCTTTTCTGCAATACAGAATATATCAAGATATATTTCTTTCAAAATTATCTGCAATATTCAAATTGAATTAAAGACATGAATTAAAGCTTTTAATGAAATCTATGGTTTCTACTAAATCAGGAAAAAAAATTGGCATAAATATAATGTAAAAACATATACACGAATATACAGTTCTTTCAATAACATTACTGATTACTTACGTTGACTAAAATGTAACTTACATCTGAGCTAGGAGATGGCAAAGAAGATAGTCGGCAGCAAGTACATCGCCAAGTAGCAGCTGAGACAGAACTAGATGTAAATCAGATCTGATAGTTTCTGCTTCAGCCATCACCGAGGAGGAAACATCATCACTTATGTCACCAATTAATGGGTTACAATTTCTTATTTGACGAAATGATATGACATGTATTCGAGGTGTAAGAGGTGATGGAGGTCTGTAGCTGTCATCAAATTCATCCTCATCATTAGGTAATGGATCCCGATATACAAAACCAACGATTTCTATCACATCATTTAACTTCAAAGAACTTTCAGGTACATCATACATCTAAACAAATAAATAAATAAAATACTGCAAGGTCTTATTTGCTTCATTAATTTATGCTACAGAAATTTATCAGAAAAAAATTAGGTTTGTTTTTGAAGATATTAATCTTATTAAAGTTGTAAAAGGACATTTATGAGAAATAAAGAACTGATACGCCATCACTCAATAGAAGATTTGGTTTACTTTTAAGAAATAGATAGGTTTTTGAAAAAAAAAATGTATATGCCTATTTTTATTAACTTTATAGCGATTATGGTCCCATCCTGAAATCACTTCATTATTAGGACCATAAACATATAGAAGACATTAGACATACTTTAGAGATCTCTGTTAGTCTCCCATTATATTGAAATACAGTCATAATACACTATATTTGAAGTTTAATATTATTTACTTTATATAAAAAACACTGTGCATGCAATATAGTGATAAATTACCACAGCTAAACACCCAGCAGAGTTGGATTTTGAATCTAACTGGGTACTAGATGTCGTAGCCTTGTCAGGTTGTGATGTACAGAGGCGTTTTGATAATCTAAAAAAATAAAATAAAAATAAAAACAATAAATATGTACATAAAAATTAAATGGAATATCATATGAATTTAACATACTCTGCATCAGAATTATCAACTTCCATAGCCTCTGAAGATCTTTTTAGATCATTTGATTCTGTAATAGGTAATAAGTCCGTACTCTCCAGATTATTTTTGATATCCCCAGATTTCTAATTGTTCAGATTTTATGAAACATAAAAACAAATTGGACACTATATCACATAAGAACAACGCAATATACTACTACTAACTAGTAGTAGTATACTACACTACTGCATAGCAATAGCAACGATGAAAGTTAATTTATAAATGCTTTAAAGAAGAATTATTTAACTTAAATAAATAATAACGAATGCAACAATATTTAAATATCAACATGCTGATATGGTAAGAAGCTGATGTATTATTAAAAAAGAAGGAGCAAAGGTGCCTGAAAACCGGAAAGCAATAGCCCAAGATAGGGAGAAGTGGATAAGGCAGGTTAAGGTGTTAAAAGACATATAAAACTAAAAGAAATAGGGAAAGTCTTTGTTTGATATAGTAAAATTTCTATGTATCAAACAAAGGTTTTGCAGTTTTTTTAAATACCAAAGGTTACGCAAATAAAAATTTAAGGTTCATAAAAACTTTAGTACATAAAAGTCAATATGTAATAGTTCAAACCTGATATTTAGCTAGAAATAAATATGAAAAAAGAGCTACAAAGATATAACACAATTTTATTAAATGCTATAAAATACAAAATAGCGGTAATGTGCAATAAACAATTTGGAGGATAAAACTTACCCTTTGAGCCCAATGACTTAGAGAAGGAATGGGAATCATATAATACAGACGCCTTTCACCACTTTCACATGAATCAGATTCCAAATTCAGAATTTCATTTTCCTATAATAGAAAGAATAATGCTACAAAATGGTTGGATATTACAGATAAATGCATGAATTGTGAAGTTATAGATAACTTACACTACACTCCAAAGTGTCCATATATTTTCCATTCCTTATCACTGATAATCCAGTAATTTTATCATTAGTCTCATATTTTGAGTAATAAAACACTGGATTTGGCATATCTTGAATCATGCCTTTAAATTTCAAAATATGACCATCTTTCAGTGTGCCATCGTTAGATTCAAGGGTTGGAATCTGTAAAATAAAAATGTCAAGTTCGAATAAACAATCATGAGCCAATAGATGATTTTCAATTGATCTTTCTTTATTAAATTAATATGGTCAAGGCAAACTGCATCAGTAAAAAATAAAAAGGCTCATTTTTCAATATGAAAAAAAGGAATTAGTAAATGGAATCGAAGTGTTTTTTTTGTTATAAATTGGAATTTAAAGGATTACATTTATAGTTCATTAATAAATATGATCTTATAGGAAAAATATACAAAAAAAAAGTAGAACTTTAAGATGCTTTCTTTAATTAGGTTTGCCTGTGAACTGTGATACAGTGAGATCCATTTCATGGATGTAAAGGGGTTCCAAGAAAGTTATAAGTCTTTTTCAGATGGCTTTCAAAAAAATGTATAGCACATTATAAGTTTCAAGAAGAGTTCTGAAACCCGTAAGTAAAAAGTTCACAATTTGAATGATTTATATTGTTTTTGACTTTATTAACAGCATGCATATTAAAACAAGTTAAATATATTCTTTTTTTAACGTACTCTGTAGTCAATATTTTTGTTTTGTTTATTTTATTTTTTTATACAAGGTCTGTTCTAAGATTGATCAAAAAAGCTGTGTAAGCATCCCAACAAAGCTGAGCAGCCACTCCCTATTATGCTTTGATGTCAAATAAGAAGTTTTGTCGAAGTAAGTATTTTCCCTTTTTTGTTTTTTTATATTTCAAGATTTGATTACAGTAACTTCTATTGCGGTATCTAAATAGATTCAAACTGCTAATTTGATTATATGGATTGTGTACTAACAGCAACAACGATAAAAATAATTATAAGTTATAGACTATTAATTGAAAACACATTAATAGCAGGACATTTTTACATAGTTAATATTCTCTCAAAAATTATTAAAACAATTACATTTAAAAAATGTACATTTATATTTCTAATGAAACTGCAGTAGAACTTAATCTTTTAGCCACAATAATGAGATAATTTCAGTTGTATCCACCATCTTGGTCTAGTTGCATCAAAAACTTATTCAATGTTTTGATTATATATATTTGAATATTTTCATTACAATGATTGTATCTAGGTAATTATATGGTAATTTGAAACATTATTTAAATTTAATGAAAATTTTATTTTATTTTTCATTTAGAAAAATCCACTACAGTAGCAAAAAGTATTATATTCCTTAGTTAGTCATAGCAACGATAAATAAGGTTATAAGAATTCCTAAATAAAAGTATTGCTATTTAAATATTTTTCCCATAAAATAAATATTTTATTTTTCACAAAAATAAATATGATTACATATCCAACAAAATAATAAAGTATTATAGATTAGGATATGATTATTAAAATCAGTATTTTGTAAAACTATAAATTAAATATTGAACCAAAAGTATAATGGAGTTATTAGCAACTATGATGCACATTTATTAGAAAAGGAATGTGTTTAATATAAGTCGGTATATTGAAATATTGAAAAAATAAAACAAATATAGTTCAAATAAATTATTATACTTTACAACAATTCTCCATTAAGCCAAATTAATTAATTTAAAGACGAACTAGATCACATTACAACATTAGATTTAAGTTCATTAATACATATGTAATGAAGACTTATAATTATTAGCATTCAATTAATCTTTATGGCAATATCTTAACATAACACACGCTTCTAAAACAACACAATCTTTACTAACATATCTTAATGGAATTTCAATAAGGTGCCTCTAACTTTTGTAGTTGCACATGGCACCTAAATATAAACAAATAAATAAACATCATATATCCTCAGAAGCTACAGTAACAATATTACCATAACAATGCCACTTACATGATATTTCATATTCAAATTTTGACTTAATATTTCATTGCTAATGATTAAAATTTTAAAAAATCATGGCTTATATTAATAAACAATGGAAAAAAACATCAACAATAACATGCAAAGTAGTTGAATAAGTTGGTCAGCCATGTCTTTTCACAATTTTGGCAATAGTAAATATTTATTTGCAACACAGAGCAAAGAGAACTTACATATCATATAGATCTTAATAATAGCAAATGCAAATGCAAAAAAAAAAAAAAAAAAAAATACATTTCTGTTCCAAAAGTAGAATACTCCAGAAGCATAAAGACGGAAATAAAATTTAAAAAAAAATGTAATTATTTACATGAGGACCGAACGAGTTACGCATGGTGCACAATCACTTCGGTCACACATGTTCATAAAACCTCTAAAACAGTCTTTAAGATAAATCCGGATATTGCCGGATGCGATTCTCATAATTATTCCTTAAAATAATCCTTATAATTGATCCAAATAATCAAGAAAAAAATCCACTGTGTGACAAGTGAGGTGAGAAAAAAAAAATAAGCAACAATTAATTAAAATACAACTAATTTTATTAAAATTAATTAATGTTATATTACAATAGAGAAATACCACGGGATACCAGGTTCTGACTGGTGACATGATAAACCCAATGCTATAAAATGATAAGTTAAATCAATAAGACATGCCAGCTATATTAATTTGTTTTTCTTATGAATTGATGGATTAAAATGTTATTTAATCCAGTTAATGGCACATTATTTCAAATGAATCAGGGAGGGGAGGGGGGGGGGGGGGGGGAGAAGTCTATCACTTAACTTCAGACAGCTAAATTGGAAATTCTATCATTTCATAGTGATTGATGAAATCTAGACCCACCTGCTATTGGTTATCTAGATGATACATTTCAGAATAAACTTGACAGTGGGAGCATTATTAACAATTTGATAATAATGTAATATCACAAAATACAGGATACAGCACAATACTAAAACATTATTGTTCTAATAAATCTGCATTACTCATAACTTATCAATAGTCTTAAAGAAGTGATAGAGATGATTAGAGAGTTAAGCAATAAAAAAAGAACATTAGGAAAATCCAAATTCCTCAATGTTTTTATAATCTAAAGACAGCAATATTACCTTTTCCCAGTTGTCTTTGATAAACATTAAACCTTGTATAGGATTTTGATTAATAGATTCAACATTAAATGAGTTAATATCAAACATAATTATTTGATTAAATATAATAACTTTTAAAAAATTAAGTAATGAATAAAATAGGTTCCTAGAGGTAACTCCAAGGTTTTTATAAGGCGGGAAAAAAGGTTATAAATTATGGGATGAACTAGAAGTAGTAATCAACATTGTATAAATATTAATAATAATAACATTGGGTAAAAATGTTTTAATGTTATTGAAGCTTAAATTTTGTTTGTAATAAAATGTCATGATGTCATCTGAGGTATATGAACATGAACATACAAATTTTAATTAGTAATCATGAATAATTATCTATCGCATCTCCATTTCGACTACATAAATTTTGGATGCCTTGTAGGTATTCAGGCTCTCTTAAATATTGAAGTATTCTTTTATATTAATTAATTTCTTACCAAATTATATTGATATTTTGTTTTTTTGAACTTTAAGTACATTTTTATATTCCAGCTTAATTAGTTTTGTTCTGACTGAAGTAAAGTATTGGTAACTCCGAACAAATAAGAAGTTGAATTTTTCCTATGTATGTTTTTCCATCCATTTTACGAGTGAAAACAAACCTTTTGAAGGGGGAGAGGAGGGCTTCAGCCCGAAAGATTTTTTTTTGTATGTATATATTAGGATAATTACTTCAGAATAAAGAAAAAAACTAACAACCTATCTGAAATAGTATCTAAGCGATTCTTTAAGTCCTATTGTCCGGCTAAAATGTAATTAGCCGAACAATAATACTTTTAGAGATAATTTTTTTCTTTTAACATGGTTATATTTTACCACTTGGGGGGGGGGGGGGTGGGAGAGGGCTTCAATCGGAAAGCCATCCCCCGCCACGTAGATTCGCCTGTGCTATTAAGTATAAATAACTAGTGTTAGTGCAAAAGTTAGTATGTACAAATTTTCAACTTTTATTCCATTTGTGTTAAAGATGACATTTTGTAGCCTGCAACTGATATAAGCAGACTGCTACGAAGAAACCAGCAGAGGGCAATAAAGTAGGAAATTATACTAATAAATCATAAAGAAAAAATGAGTTTTATATGCTCTTCTTTAAAATACTCAATTTTTACATAACATCTTTTGCATTAAAATTAGTGATATTAATGTTAAGTATGCACTAGAATTTTTATTTTTAATCACGTAAGTTTGTATATGAGACCTCATGTCTCCGGAACGTTGTAGTTGGGGCATAGCGGATCAATGTTCTTCCCGTGTTTAGCGAACTTCGCTCGGAAGCCCCATGTCCCGTGAGGAGTTGAGACACCCAGTAATCCGGGAAGACCCATCTTGCATCTAATCGTGATTTGCCCCTCGGGAAGTACTTTCTTAGGTAGCTCCCTTCGGAGTTGTCATCCATCGCTGGTTCCATTGATCAACTGTGTCCTCCCTGATAATTCTTTTCACAAACTATGGGAATTACAAATATTTAAATGGTTATTTATTCTAATGTTTTGTTTCTTGTGATGTTCAGAGAATCGATCATTTCATCCCATTGTGTGCCGGTTCGAATCCGGCATGGGAGGGTTGAAATTTATTTTTAATTTTTTTTTTTAAATTTTTTCATATACTAGAGCCATATTACTATAGGAGCCATATTACTCCTACAGATAGGACAATATTGTTCTTATAGTTGCAGTCTAAAGCATTGTTTACCTTCAACCCATTTCCATGGAAGTGAGTAGAGATGTGGACACGAAATTGGGCAGATTAAGAATGTAAAACCTCCATTGCTCTCCCTCCTGCCACTGCTACTGCTCTGTGCTCCATTTGTTGACTGTTTATTATAGCGGACCCTGCACGATCAGTCATGCATGACAGTCATAAGACTGACGGAAATTGCTTCGATCAGGATGAATGTACACTTACCAATCAGACTGAAGTTATTTTGCTCAGTTAATGTTGAGATAATTACCCAAAAAGTCTGTCTTTCATGAGCAGATTATTGACTGAATTTTATTTCTATTTTTTAAGTTCTTGATAATTATTTCATATCATTATATTTAAACCATATTATACACATTAATGGAAATTTTTAGTTCAAATGATAAAAAAATTAACCATTTAAAAAACTCAAAAAAACTTATAATTTAAAGTTGTTTTTTTTTCAGCTCTTGATGTTCAAAGAAAATCAGGAAACAGAGAAAACAGCCAATATGGCCGAATGTGTGATAGCTGAAATAAATAATAAGAAATTGTCGATTCCAATTGGTTTGAAGCGACCTAAATTTAAAGACTTTAATGCCTTTGAACAATGGTATGCAGAAGAACTTGCTTATGCTACAAAACTAAAGGAGAGATTAGAAGCTGGTGAAAATTTACCACATTCCATCGAACAAGAAATGATTAACTGGTCAAAATATAATTTAAATAATATGAAAATTAATTCAAAACTCAAAGCTGAAAAAAGTCTGCTTTTTTTAGACATGAAGATAAAAATGGCTCTCAGAAAGGACGATTACAACATCAAACAATGTATATTGCTACTACAACAACTGAAACGGTTACATTTCACTTCACTCATGTTAAAGAAAAATTCTGATATCATAAAAACTGTTGAGAAAATTACACGATTTCGGGGGAAGAATTTAAACTTTAAGGAAGTTCGAAAGATAAAAAAATATGGGCACCGGATTCTCAAAAAAATGATGGCTAAGTTTAATGTTGAAGATCAGCAATCATTTCTAAAAGTTTTTAAGCAAGAGGAAAATATTTGTTTGCACAACAATCTAGATTTGAATATTACTAAGTTAAACTGATGGTTGAGAAACCTTAGTACTTGTTATTTATTTGAGAGAAAGTGTACACAAATAATTCTTCATAGTGCATTTTTTAACTACTGAAAACATAGTGTATCATTGAAAAATAAATATTTTACTATCCAATGCGTTTATTTTCAATCCCATTTACTATTACCAAGATGCCCAATGGAATATTTATAATACACCCTTTTGGTTATGGTTGGGAATATGAGAGCGCAGTAGACATTTTTATATTCAATCTCACCTTGATGTTAGCTTCACATGTTTTCTTAAATATCCTGTATCCACCTTAACCCTTTCCACTATATGGATTAATCCAGAGGTTTAAGGACTCAGTAAATGGTATGTAGCAGATGTTTGGCGCAATGAGTGATTTCAAATACTTAAGATGGTATTCGCTTTCGAATAAATACTTGCGAAAATTTATCAACCTACTGTTCCAAAGGCCTGGACCAGTAATTTGACGAAGACATTTCCGTAGTCCCGGATTTCAAAACTGAATGAAACCTTCTCTGCCAAATCTGACATTGTAAGTATGGAAAGTTTCCTTCGTACTATTCGACATGGTTTACAATATTTTATCTTTGCTTCCTTTCCTCACACCGAGGGGGAAGGGTGAGAGGCTTTTAACTCTGGCATTAATTTTCCGCCCTCACTCAGGGAGGACAAAAAAAAAAAAAAAAACTTAAGAATTTTATTTTTATCACTGAAGTAATGGAAAAGAGTATTTAAGTTAATTAAAAGTTAATTTAAAGGTTGCAATGAGAACAAATTATTACAGAACTTATATTGAGATTTGGTATGAAACCGGAAGTTCTTCAAATAGGAGAATACATTTCTTCATGGAGGCTACATCATTATATAAATGAAAATTCATCTTTAGTGATAAGCTTTAAATCTCATCAATCATTTATTGCCTCATGTCGATTCAAAACTCAGGAAACAAAATATATCGCCAGCAAAACAATTTAAAGAATGGTTTGCTTCTTTAAAATTCTTATTCATTTCTTGAATTTGTATTATAATGACGTATATTTATTGTTATGCAATTATTTTTGAAATAATTGATAATTGTGGTATCGAAGTTATTAAACGTGTATATAAAAATAAAAAATATTAATTTTTAATTCTCAATCAGTTTGTGTATGACAACTTTTACTGGCCACTTCTTATTCTTTGGCTTTTTTGTACTTAGATTTTGTAATTTCTTTATATGGATCCTTACATTCTTTATTGAGTAGAGGATCCTTCAGTCTGTTGAGCGAATATTATTGTTTTGTTCTTTGGAAAAACGAGCAGCGTCCTCTATGCTGGTGCCCGCCATTCTCCGATGATTTAATTTATGTCTTTCGGTTTTGAAAGCACAAGTTATGGCTGAACCTGGCGTAATAAAAAAATTAGATGAAACTGTTGTCAATAGGATTGCTGCTGGTGAAGTTATACAGAGACCAGCGAATGCTCTTAAAGAATTGCTGGAAAATAGGTATGCATCAACATCTTACTGTTATCAATCCTTTCATTTTATTCCTATTTTGATTATGGTTCAACTTTTAGCCTTGATGCAAAATCGTCTAATATTAAAGTAACATTAAAGGGAGGAGGATTAAAACTTCTTCAGGTATATATTTTTCATCTTAGTCATTTCCTATTGTTTTCTTGATCTTCACTTAATTGTCCTTATCTTCTTTAGATTCAGGACGATGGCACAGGAATACGTAAAGAGGATTTAGATATTGTTTGTGAGCGCTTTACGACTAGTAAATTACGTGAATTTGAAGACCTAAATAGTATCAACACATTTGGTTTTAGGGGAGAAGCCCTTGCAAGTATAAGTCATATAGCTCATCTTACCATCACCACAAAGACAGCTTTGCAGCCATGCGCATATATGTAAGATAGTGTCTATTATTTAAATTTTTCTAGATTTAAGTTTTGAATAAGGCAAATCAACAGAACTAGATATAATCTGATAGAGGAAATGTTGTATTTTAACATTTAGTTCTCTATTGATTACTTTGGTCTGGATTTGAAAACTTTTGTTGCTCCTTGCTTTCCTTTTTTAACTACTGAATTTTTATTACGTATTTTAAAAAAAATTCTAGAGCCATATTTATAGAATAACTCTGGCATAGCCTGGTTCCAAGCCCAAGTTAAGAAAGGAAAAGGATTCGTCATGAGGTTTGCAACTCCATCCTGTAAAAATACCTACTGCAATGAGACTTCAAAGAGGATTAGCTGGACTGAATTTGCAGAAAAGACCAAGGAATCGTCACACAGACCTAAAACTTAAGATAATCGAATATTTTGGCGACTACTTCAGCAATTAGACAGATATGAGATGGAGTTATTCGCTATACAGGAGGTAGGATGGAACTCCTGGAGAAGCTACACCATTTACTACAGCTGCTAGCAACAGCAATGTTTTTCTGGAACGGGATATATGGTTAATGAAAAAACCAGAGGTCTGATGATTGGTTCCATCCCATTTACCCTATAATCTGTGTCCTGATATTAGGAGGTAAATTCTGTAATTATACTATTCTCAGCTGGTATGCACCAACTGAGGTATCACCCGATGATGAAAAGGAAGGCTTTTATGATCAGTTGGTCAGCATAATCGACAGTTCCCCCAAGAGCAATATAATGGTGGTCATAGGGAATTTTAATGTTAAAGTAGGTAAAGAACAAGTTTTCCGACAGAGTACAGGAAAGTACAACCTCATACTGCCTGGTGAAATACAGCCTCATACATTACTGGTGAAAATGGCTGAATGCTCATCTTCAACTTTGCTACCTCCAAAGACCTGGTTATTGCAAGCTAGCTCTTTATAGGGAACAGTATCCACAAAGAAACATAGCACTCTTCTGATGGTAGAAGGATGAATCAGATTGACCTTGTTTTAATCAGTAGGAGATCTTATCGAGGAGCTAATATGTGTACTGACCATTACCTCGTAGTGTCCAATATCAGAGCGAGGATATCCAATGTTAGAAAAATCAGGGGAAAGAAGACATAAAGAATAGCTATGCCTAAACTTAAAGACCCAGAAGTAAGCACATCATATTGTTGAAAGCTGAATGAGATGGTTTTGAGTACAGGCATACCAGATAGCTTTATACAGAAACAATGGGATACCCTTTTCACATTAATTAAAGCGGTAACAAAAGAAACCATAGGTCAGGAAGAAAGCGTAACGAGATCCCGCTGGTTTGAGGCAGATTGTGCAATAGCCTCAGAAGAACAAAGCCTACAAAAACATGTTACAAAAGCGTAATACTAGGCGGACTTCAGAGGAGTACTAGGAGTAGGATGGATCTATGATAACCAAACAGGATGATATAGTGGCTCGATGGTCTAGTCATTTTGATAAGCTCTTAAACGATGATGCGTGAAATCTAGATGATTTTGTGATCCCTAGTAGGGAGAATGTTGAGGACCCCTCTGATTCACCGACATATTATGACTTTATTGAGGCTGTAAACGGCCACAGCACTAAAGCCCCAGGGGAGGATAGGATCTCAGCTGAACTTAAGCAAGGAGGTGAAGAGTTTCAAAAAGCCCTCTACAACATAATTCTCACCATCTGGGTTGAAGAAAGAATGCCAAATCAGTGCCAGAAGGGCATTACATAAGAAGGATGATATTTTGGATTGCTCCAACTATAGGAGGATCACACTTCTTTAATGTGCATATAAAATTCTGTCCAAGATTATGTATATAAAAATACTTCCATTAGGTGAGAGATAGATTGGTAGGTATCAGGCTGCTTCTTGGTGTTCCACTTATGTAGTCTCCGAGATGGCAGGACACGTTGTGGTATCCTGTGCTGCCATGGAAGGACTCTATTCCAGGTTGTTGAGAAAGACGGGTATCTTCACCATCGCCGAAATGGACATCCTCCCGACTAATGGAAGAGATGAACTACCCCTTCTTCAGAGAGTATGTCTGTGGGTGAAAGGAAGTGGTGGGGCCTTCACACTTTACTCTTGGTAGGGCTCCTCCACTATCCACGTGAGAATGGGGCACATGAAGAAGGTATGTAAGGACCAGACGGATGCGGTGAACCAGGACAGATGCAAACTAGACCGGTTTCAGAGTGCCAGAAGGGCTGACCATGCGATCCAGCTGAGGATAAGGTGCGGCTCCATAAGTAAGGTGCACATCCGTGGACCGAGCCGCACCACAGTTGAACCTAACCTATAGAGTCCTGTATGAATGTCCTATTGAAGAACAATAATTTCTTGATACCGTCTGCAAATAGAGAAATGGAAAACGACATTCTTTGAAATAAAAGAATGAATTAGGACGAATCATATCGCAATGATAAAATTAAAAAAATTATATGGCGCGGTGCATGTTTTGCAGGTTCTTGAAAATGGCTCCTGAAGCCGAAACGTTGAATAAAGCATACAGGAAATAAAAAAAACTGTTTTTTTGGTGACCTTTGGCCTAAAATAGACATATGATAAATTATGAGAAAATGGCACCAAACCCGAAGGATGTGACTAGAAAACTAACCTATTGTTTCCACATGAAACTATCCTTAAATGTTATAAAATAAGACGTGAATAAAGTATTTTATTGGCAGTAGTGAGTGAAAGGGTTTATTTATAGAACGCATATGTTTATGTTTGAAATGGATTATTGAGGAACAAGCATGTGGTCAGTTTCAAAGGTTTTCTAATGCTAAACTAACAAAATTCCTTTGACCACAAACAAATTATCAAAAAACATTGTTAACAGTATTAAATACTTCTTCTTCTTGTCTTTCTCCTTAGTACCTTTCAGCTAGGAGGGTCCTCAATCCATTTAAACAAGTCTTTGCAGCCCCTTGCCGTGACCCGAATTATCAAGAATAGAATTGTATAGAACCCAACTGCTTACTTCTTTTCTGTCCCAGCTCGAGTTGAAAGGTAGAGTGTGTTGTATATATTTATTTTAGTCATATTGAATACTTGAGATTGAATTGGTTTCAATATGAAAACTGTGATGGATATTGGATTCAAACAATTTCTGAGAAAAGAGTGGAATAAAAAATGAAGAAATATTGCTAGCAAAATGAGTGGTTAGTGGTCGTGAATAAACGAAAGAGTAACAGTAGAAGCAAATATGCTGAGAATGGAGAAAAATAGATTTTCTCAATCGTGCCATATTAGTTGATTTTAGAAAAAGTCATTAAATAAGCCAGTAGAATGGTAAAAAAATTATTTTAGGGTCAAGTATTTAAAATAATTACTGTCGTTTTGAATAGATTAACATTTTAACTATAAACATATATTATGCTTTATTTTCCTAAGAACAATTCTTTATATGTTTATAGAAATAAAATCTGCCATATTTTTATCATGTTGATAACTAATATTACTGCAGGAAAACTCAGTGTACAGTCATAAATTTTTGTTTAATAAAATCAAAGTTACTACTGTACAAATGTCTTGAAACTTTCATTGATGGCACAAGATCTAATGATTACACTATAAATAGAATCCCGAGAATGGCCGGGTGTGTTTGAAAGTAGACTGAAGTAACTGAACCGTTTCTTAAGGACCCTGACTTCACTGAAAAGGACGCATCGAGCTTTTTTTTATCACTTTATAGTGAACAGTAGTCAAAAGCAGCTATGTAATTTAAGCTAGTTAAGGCCCTGATTTGAACTGAAAAGAACCAGTAGGAGTTCGCTGAAGTTGTAAATTGCAATCTACATAAAAGGAGGTTATACTGTGAACAAAGTCAATCCTCAGCTATTCTCGGAATCCCATCTTTACCGTAAATAAGAGGTGTCATCTCACTGGAGAAGGAGGAGTCACATTTGTACAGTGGTGATAAATCAAATGTTTAAATTCTTGTGAAGGCACCTCCGGTGTAGGTATCGACCTTTATAAAATATTTAAATTTAATTTGAAAAACAGATACTGCCATGCAGCTATCATGCCAAATTTTATTGGATGGGATGCTATGACAAATGATTTTGTTTGGCTTCAAGAGTTGAACAAGGGAAATCTACTTTGGTTATTAAAGACCCGTTAATTAAAACTCAGAAATGAAAGTATTAATATTGAGTCGAAAAAACTAGATATTGATCTAATTATTTTCTCATTTCTTATTTTAAAATTTTTATTAGATAAAACTATTTTCATTTCATTGGATCAACTGAAACATTTTGTTTTATATCTGTTAGATTTAAATTAATCCTATTGTTCTGATAAATGTGTTACTCACCAGCTATAATTTTGATCATAGTGTTTCTTATGAAGATGGAAAACCCAAAGGTCTTCCAAAGCCTTGTGCTGGTAACCAGGGTACTATTATCTCGGTTGAAGATCTTTTTTACAATGTTGCAACCAGAAGGAAAGCTTTTAAAAGTGCATCTGAAGAACATTCCAGGGTTGCTGATGTGGTATACAATTTAATATTTTAAGCTTAGTATTTATTAATTTTTGTAAAATACTATTCTGATATTAAAATTTCATTTATTCAGGTAGGAAGGTATGCGATTCATAATCCAAAAGTTGGTTTTGCTTTGAAGAAACATGAGGCCAATACATCAGATATTAAGACTAATCCTAATTCAACTCATGTTGATAATATTCGTGCTGTTTATGGAAATAGTGTTGCTAGGTATGATCCTTGGATTATAGAATAAAGAATAATAATTTTTAATTATTAAGAGTAAAGAATAAAAAGTTATACATGAAAGAAATGTTTATCAGTTACATTTTCAGTTTTATGTATCATAAATTATACCAGAGATGTATAACAATTATTAATAATATCAATTAATTAATCAAACAAGACCATTTTAATCAGAGCCTTCCTTAGGCCGGATAATTGCCCCGGAGTGCTGATCATCTCTACTTGTTAAGAAATTAAACAAAATTTACAAAGTGTATGAGAATAATTAAGTTTAGGCTATGAATAAAGCAACTGAATTAAAGAGATATTTAATGAAATCAAGTTCAAATATTACTTATTTTAAATCAGCTTAAAAATGAATTAAATTTTTGAGGGAAGGTGACTTATCTAAGGATGGACTGATTTTAATCCTAATTTAATCTATATAACTCCTACCAGTTGAAGCCGGTGTTCCTCAAGGTAGCGTCTTGGATCCCGTCCTTTATATCCTTTTCACCGCCGATATCCCTGTCTATCCCAATACCTTCCTGGCAACATTTGCTGATGACACCGCCATCCTATCATCCAACTCAGATCCCGAAATAGCATCTTTAAATCTTCAAAGGCACCTCTCCATGATTGAGCACTGGTGTAATAAATGGCGCATCAAAGTAAACGAATCCAAATGCAGACACATTACCTTCACACTCCGCCGCAGATCTGTCCATCAGTCCACTTTAATTCCATCCAGCTTCCTTTTTCAGACACAGTCCGGTATCTTGGCTTTATCTTAGACCGAAGACTAACGTGGAACCCACATACTAGACTTAAAAGACAAGAACTTAACCGACGATACGGCCAATTATACAGACTACTGACCAGAAAATCTCAACTTTCAATTGACAACAAATTACTGATCTACAAGACAATCCTCAAACCCATTTGGACCTACGGACTTGAACTTTGGGGGACAGCAAAATTCTCTAACATCAAACGCATCCAATCCTTTCAATCCAAAGTCCTCCGAACAATAGTCGATTCTCCGTTCTATGTAACCAACAAAACCCTACATCATGACCTTAATATTCCATTTGTCCTTTACCTTATCCCTGAAAAATTTTCAAAATTCCATCAGAACCTTATCAATCATCCAAATCCCCTAGCCCAATCCCTATCTAGTTCCACTCATCTCTACAACCCTCCTCGAAGGTTGAAGCGGCAGTGGCCCAGAGATCTTTTATAGTATTTATTTTGGAGTTCTGGCAATGGCCAGATTCTCCACTCAAGACATGAGTGTATGTGGCTAAAGCTCTCTCGCTCAAACTCCACCGGCTTTAGCACCAGTGAAGCGGTTGAGAGAGTAGCTCAGAGATTTGGGTTCTCCGCCTGATTATATATTGTATATAGGTATGACTGTATTTTTATGTTTTTGATTTACTTATATTTAGGTTATTTTATTTTTTTATTGTATGTAGTTTTTATTTATTATTATTTAACTTTTGTTAATTTTGTTTCTTTTTTGTATATACGGTGTGAATGTATTCATTTATCAATATAATTATTGTACCTGTGACAGAATATTATATTTCTAAATAAAAAATAAAAAATAAATAACAAAATTTATCTAAATATTTTGTTTTCTAATTTATTTCTCATTTTTTCAAATAATTTAATTCTCAAAGTTTAAAGTAAATTGCTTTTCACTCCATTCTAGTTCAAAGTTTGTGCTTCGCTTGTTTAAAATTATTGTTTTGTCACTTGCAGTTCTTACAAAAATCACTTCTTTAGTAAAATTATTCCTGCACATGATTCTACATTTAGTTATATTTAAATAATTTGTTTAATATAGGCTTTTATTGTGGAGTCCATTGAACTATTTTGGAGGATCATTATTTATCATAGATTATTAGATGGAGAGACTTTTTTTTTCCTCTTTATAATAACCGACATAATATTCATTCAATAAAATTATTTTTCCATATAGTAATTTAATAATTTATTGGATTTGTATTCAGAAATCTCAGATGATTAGGTTGGAAACTCAACTCATTTCTTTAAATTTATTGTAAAAGATCTGTTTAACAAGAAGGTTCAAACGAGTGATTTGTAATATGTTGACACATAAAAATTGGCTCATATTAAATTATTATCTCTGAAAAGAGACGTTTTCAGTTCACTTATTAAATACCAATGTATTTCAGGGAACTGTTAGAAGTTGAGGGATCTGATGATTCGTTGAAATACAAAATGCATGGCTTAATCTCCAATGTGAACTATTCTGCCAAAAAAAGCATATTTATATTATTTATTAATGATCGTCTCGTTGATTCAACAGGTAAAATAACTGATATAGTACAATATCATTCAGGTATATTTTTTATAAGTTGGTTATTTAATTGGATTCTTTGCTTTTCCTTTAGCTCTGAGAAAAACCATTGAAAATGTTTATTCGCTTTATTTACCCAAAGGGTCTCATCCATTTGTATATATAAGCCTTGCACTTGATCCTCGAAATGTTGATGTGAATGTTCATCCGACAAAGCATGAAGTTCACTTTTTACATGAGGATATTATCATTGACAAAACACAGAAGTCTATTGAAAGTAAATTATTGGGAGCTAATACGTCACGTGTTTTTTACAAGCAGGTATTTAATTCCTGTAACTGATACATTAATATTTATTAAAAAATATCAAATAATACTTGATATCTACCTGTTCTCAACTAATTTCTTTCTTTCTGTAGTAATTATATCTTTTCTTATATTGAAGTGAGAAAAAAAAACTCAATTGAAATTTTCAGTGTAATGAAACCTGTTCAAAATTGGCACTGAGACTTGGTCTGTTATCTGCGTAATAGAAAGCAAAATTGAGATTTAGAAAAAAATGTGTAATCAAACCTTAGTGGCATGAAATTAAATAATTAAACTTTAGGGACATACACTTCTGAGAGGTGTAATTGAATTTGATGGTCTATAACTTTTATTCTATAAGATATTTCTCTTAAAGAACTCATTTCAAAGTTTCAGAGTCGTTTATAGTAATATGTGATGAATTTGGTAAAAATTATCATTCATTGACCGTGGTTTTCGACTATACCACTTAACCAAATTTACATTTATTAGTCAGGAAATTAAGACTATAAAAAACTGATGGGATGGTAACCTATATTTATGACATATATATAGGTCTTTTACATAGTTATACATATAAAATATGGGTACTGGTCCGTTAGCTGGGCGTGCCGGACTGCTTTCTGCCAATGTTTATAATCTGAACACTGATAATTCCAATAAGGCAGTGATAAGCCTTCTCGTAATTTCTATCTTCGTATTCATATTTATTGCATTATATTCATATTACTCAAATTGTAAACAGAAACAAAAACAAATGTAATAATAAAAAATACTTTTATTTTACGACATACTTATTAATGAAATAATAAAAAAACACTTAAAGAACATATGTACATATTAAAGAAAAATGTAAATACCATAAACGACATATGTACAATTTGTTTTCACTTCATTTTATTTATTTTGGTAGGCAAAATAGTTTTATGCTATTTAAAATAGTATCCCATCAGAGGTTTTGTACATAACCATAAATCACTCAATATGTTACAGAAAGCTACATGGGTTAACATTTGGATAACAAACAAACATAATTCCAGAGCAGTTTAATAGATTAGAATATTATTCACCAGGATGAAATACTTTAATAAAATGTCAACTTTATGTATTTTCAAATACACATAAAATCCTATAAATCAGCTGTTCTTAAACATAACTAATTCATGATACCTTGAACATTTTTTTAAATGGACTCCATCCCAACTCTAGACATTATGTTTATGTATATGTTACTGTCACTGTTGGGAGAACTAGTCTGGCAAGTGGGCCTATCGTGATCCCTTTTCCCAATCCCTAACGGCTAACTTGAGGTTACCACCGCGTATTTACCAGAGTGGGAATGTTATGATCCATTACCCCAACGTGCTCGGTCATCCCGTCCTCATGTTACTATGTTAGTAAGTAGTAATGTTAATAACCAGTTTAATAATGAGTTATGTGAATAAAATGGAAAATTTATGAGTTGCAAGGGTAATATCAAAGTTGATATGAGTGTGTGTAGAAGTGTCTACTCATTAACTTAGCATTTAATTGAGGATTAGTTAATATTTTTGCAATAGTTAAATAGATAATTTCAGTCTTAAATGAGCAAAACAAATTGTAATGCTTTGTTCCACATATACAGTGCAAGTTACCAAATGTGGACTTGAATTTGACAACAGCAGTTTTGGAGGATGAAGTGGAAAAAGAAAAAGAGAAAGAGAAAACCATAAAAGCCAAAAATTTGGTTAGAACTGATGCATCCTCCCAAAAAATTGACAAATTCCTTAAAACTGATACCAATAGCAGCAGTAAGGATATCAGTAAAACAGAAGAAAACGGTTACAAAAGGTAAACAAAAATACTTAAATTAATATTGTGAGCCAAATATTCTAAAATAATTGTTTTCTTGATGAATTAGAGTTGAACAGAATGAAGGAGTCTGTGTTCAAAAAGTTCAGTTATTAATGAGTCAAAACTTTTCAATGAGTTGGAGTTTTTTAATAAATCTGCTTTAGAGCATTGGACAGGAGAGGTTCATTTTAATTTAATTAGTCCCCAAAATTAATAAATATGCAACATACAATAATCAAACACAATTTGGTGGATCAGAACCATTAGACATGTTCTCTGGTGAAAGAACTTTGTCCGAAAATTATAGGTGTTTAAATGTAAATTTATTTATGAATTTAAAATTCAAATAAATGTTCAGCACTTATTACTGAGGAATATATTTTATTGATGACCCATTCTTAGACTAATAGATAAATGACAATAGAGACTAATAAATTGTTTCATTACATTTATTTTTGGAGTCTCCCTCGTCTCCAGCCAAGTTGAAATGGCTCTATCTCGTCTTCTGACGGCAATACTTCCTAGATGTATTCCTTTTTCGAACCTTTTCAACCAAAAAAACCTCTTACCTTCTTGATTTGTTCACTCCTTGTTCCTCTGTCCATTCATTTAACACGAGATCCCAGCCATCAAACCTATTTTTTCCTTCTCATAGAACTGTTTTCTTTAAAAAATCCTTTTTCATACTTGTTATCTTGTTTTGAAATCTTCTTTGAATTCCCTACCAACCTCCATACGCAAATCCTCATCCTTGACCTCATTGAAACATAATTTATTTATCCATTTCTTCAGCAATCAATCTTCCGAGTATGTGTAAAATAATATTCACGTTTTTCAGACCTGTCAGTCGCATTTAATATTATCCTATAGATAATTATATATTGTCCACATTATATATGTGAACTCACTCATCAGAATTTATCTATAATTTCATCTGTTTACCTGTGCCTTTTCTTTATTTTTATTTTAGATTTAGATAACCTTGTAATTTAATTTATTCCTAATGCCAGGTAATTGTCATTAAATTGTACATTATAGTTATTCTAAGGGGACTTAGTCTCAGAATAAAATTAATTTTTCTTCTTGTTTGGCATGATATTACCGACCTCAAAATGTTTCAGCTTGGTATTGACAATGCTGACTCCCGGCTTCGTAAACGATAAACCTTATTAGAAACCTGAACTTCATTTTGGTTTCTGTGATGGAAAAGTTACATGAAAGCAAACTGTATAAGGGTAAACAAACATAACCTGTCCAATCGCCCATATCCTGACATTAAATAACTTTCATATTAACAGCCTCTTCCTTTAACTTGAAGTACTCATGACTTTCTCTTCAAGATTTATTTGTAGAAATCCATTGAGGTTACCAGATATTGAGTTAATTGTGATTCCTATGCAGTGTTTATCATATTAAAAATAGCAGTAGTAACATATCGTGCTTAACAATTTTATTTGTTGCAGGCGTGAAATAAAACTTACTAGTGTGTTGGCATTAAAAAGTAATGTTGAAAACGACTGCAATCTGGCTGTGAGAGATATAGTTGCAAATATAACATTTGTTGGGTGCATAGATCAAAATTCAGTTCTAGTCCAGCACACTACAAATTTATATTTTTTTCGGTTGAAAAGGCTTACGTATGTATTAATTGTATTTTTTTTTTTGTACTCTCCATCTACCTATTGAATTCATATTTTTAAAGTTTTTTGAATTTTATATTAGATTTATTTTGATCTATTGATTTCAAAATTTTTAATTGCTGCTAGATGTAATTCTTACTAAATGTCCTAATTTTAATATCAGAAATATAATTTCCTGAAACACTATTTTGAAATTATTAAACTTTAAGCACAGAATAGAATCTAATTGTTCACAGAAAGTTACTCAAAGCCATTTAGAACATATTTTTAAACAAATGAAATTTGGAAATGATCAATATATTTGGTGATAGGTAATAATCAATAGGTATATTTCCAGTCTATTATATTGATTTTTTTTCACAAAGTTTCTCTAAATTAAAATTTAAATATTATATTTTTGGTATATTATTCTATTATTTGCCACTTTAAAGCACAGAATTGCTATGTCTTTTTGAACTTATTACTTTTTAATGTGTGTCAAATTTTTAAATAATAATTTTAATTTATTTAATATGAATCATTACTACTTTATAACAGAATAAAAAACAATGTTACATCTAAAGCCACTGCGAATTCAGAACACAATGTTGAGAAAAAGCAAACAATTATTTTTCTACTTGCAAGAATGAACATAGCAACTGCGTGCTTTGATGTGTTGGTTTAATGAAATAAAAAAAACATGAATTCATTTTTACAGAGAAGAATTGTTTTTCCAAACTATGCTTTATGATTTTGGAAATTTTGGAGCCATTAAATTCAAGGTAATTATTTATTTGTTTAAATATACGAAAATTGTCTGAATTATTATAAATTTTTATTGATAACTATATTTGTTTAATTTTGATGAAGAGTGGCCTTGCACTTTATGATTTGGCAATGCTGGGATTGGAAGATCCTGAAACAAAATGGAAGGAGGAAGATGGGAAGAAGGATATGTTAGCCGAAACTGTTTCTCAGGTGCTTGCATCAAAGGCTGAAATGCTATTGGATTACTTTTCAATAGAAATAGATAATGATAACAAATTACTGAGCATTCCTCTTCTATTAGGTAATATGTCCAAAGTTTTTTTATTTAGAACCTATTGATTAAATACTGGTTTTGAGATATTATTATTCAATTTATACCTTTTGGTCTCCAAATTGATTAGATAATTTATGTTCTGTTAGTCAGTTATTGAAAGTATGATGTTTTAAAATTATGTTTATCACAATAAGTTAATTATATCAAAATCAATGTCATTTAAAATCAAATTGAGTACATTTTTTCATTTTATATTTAATATTTTAAGAAAAAAAAATAGAATGAAACATTTTTATTTTAAAAATAAAACCAAAAGTGCCATGTGAATTTCCAAAATTAAAACAGAAAAGACGATATAATTGTATTTGAAGTGAATATTTAAAAAAAAAATAAAACAAGCTATTTTATATATCTGGTATTGTAGCTGTAAGAGTAATATGAAGGTATGTCATTGGATAGCCTGGCTCCTGCCTATAAGAGTCCATTGAGGAGTAGGCAATAGTCAAGTAATTGCTCCAATTCACAGCAATAGATTAATAGTATTGGAGAAGAAAAGACCTTGAAAAATACCACACAATATACAGTGATGAAGACATCCAGGAAGTAAAATAATAATTTTAATTTCATTTATCAAATGGGGAGCAGAATAGCTCAGTGAGTAGGGCATTGAACTCCTTGTACCTCAGCCCCAGGTTCAAGTGCAGCTGTCCAATTATTTAATAATATCAAAAATTAATTAATTAAAATCACATTTTTTTACTATAACCCTGATTAAAAATGCATTAAAATAGGTTATATCTGCTGCAGAAACAGTAATCCTTGCAAACACAACAAGCAATCTATTACAGGCAAGATAGAATTGCAAGAACAATTTTAGATCCCATTCTATCAAATCCATGTGTGATTAGGTGCAGAGAAACAATGGTGAACTGTTTGAGCTTTTTAAGGAATACAATGTTCTATCATAGATAATGATTCAAGGTTGAAATGGCAGGGCTAAGTTAATTAGACCTTAAAATTAATTTTTTAGTAAGGTTTTTCTTAATATTAGATTCAATAAATAGTATTACATTTATTTTTAAATATATAAAAAACATTGCTAATATGTTACAGACAAATATATGCCTGATATCACTCGCTTACCAAATTACATTCTTCGTTTGGCATGTGACGTTGATTGGAAACAAGAAAAGCCTTGCTTTGAAGGGATCTGCAGAGAAACTGCCAAGTTTTATTGTTATGTTGATACTCTTAATGAATATGTAAGTTTAAGTTATTTGTTTTTTAAAATTGGATTCAGTACTAAAATTTAGATGATAGATGTCCATTTTTTATACAAATATGATTGCAATGAGTCCTAATGGTTCGATTCATGCACCAGTTATCTCACCCATGAAATCTAAAATCAGTCTTAACTAAAATACTTAAGTAAATAGTTAACATTGATAATAAAAATTTTAATGTTAAATATAAAATTTTGTCTACAAAAAGTCAACTTATTATTGATCAAATTCAACTAAAGGTGAGATTTATGGTAAATTTAAAGGCTTGGTATTTGAAATGTATTTGAAATACACAAAATACCTGCTTGATATTTTAAATAATTTATAATAGAATAATAATTAAAACGTTATCTAGGTCTCTTTCACTCTAATAACACGACTTTTGGTGTTGTTGCCCTTCTAGAAATAGCACTCGACCATTATTCAAGATTGAGTCACATTATCAAAGTATGCCTATCCCTTTGGCCGTTTGGTAAATTTCCACTTTTGAAACTAACTTACTTTTTTAAATGAACCTTAAATTTTTAGGCTAAATTTAACATAGTCACATATTTGTTTTATATTAACTGATTCTACCATTTAAAAGAGAGTGAAAAATGTTATAAGAAATTCTAACTCAGTTTCAATTTTGGTAACAGATTTCTGCCCATCTTTGATATGAGGCCATTCATATAAAAGTACTTGATGTTTAAGAGATAAATATTATATAAGCTTTAAATCTTCCTTAAGTAATGTGCCTTAGGATGAGACATTTGCCTCGAGATCCTTACGAAGGTGAAATTGCTGAAACATCAGCATATAATAAAATAATTCTTATTGTTTGTTCCTGTCAGGAATAAAAGTAATGTCAATATATTTTTCATACAATTTTTAATTTACATAATTTATTTATATTATAATTTTAAGATTATAATATTATTTATCTAATATTTAGATATTTAAATTTTGTTCATTTGATTTAGGAAGGACATGATTGGAAATGGACAGTAGAGCATATCCTTGTACCAGCATTGAAAAAAACTTTACTACCACCAAAGCATTTCGCTGAAGATGGGACTATGCTACTTTTAACTTCACTACCAGAGCTTTATAAAGTCTTCGAACGATGCTAAGTTTTTCCTGAACTTGTATATTATATAATTAATTTTTTTTTTCTTCAAAATATTTTGACTGTAAATATAATTAAAAAAAAAAAAATTGTAGCTTCCTGTGAAAGTTTATGAAGTATTATAAATATGTATATATTTTTTTACTGTTAATTTATGGTGTTCACTTAACAGATTGTTTGTTATAAGTTTTCGAAAGTCAAAACGAAATGTATATAGAAAACATTGGAAGTCCAATGTTAGTTTGTGAGGTCTGGCGGTGATAAAATTATTTTTAAAATATTATTGTATCAAAATAGAATTGTTTCAATGTAAATAATCATGAGATTTGTGATAACAAAATATACAATTGGGAAATAACTGATCGTTGATATTATTTCTTTCTTTTTCAAAAGCCAAACAGCTAACTACCTCCAGATGTCATTCCAATAAAAGTAGGTAGCCTGCCAGCTATTGGTTTATAGCGAAGGAGAATCAAGACGAGTCATAATTAAGGAAAAATATAAACACTTTAAAGGAAAAGGCTTGTTTTATTAAAATTTACATCTTTCACAAAATGTTATACAATATGAATAAGCATATTGTTGATATTTAAGGATATGCTAAGCAATTATGACTTAAAATTAAGCAATAACAGTTAATAATAAACTGTAACTGATATAAATCATAACAATATTTTAGTTTATTATAATTAAATTTTAAACTTAAAATAAATTCAACAATGAGCAAAAAATACTTAACAATGTGGTGGAATTAACTATAACCTAGAAAAAATTACTTAATACGTACTCTCAATAGAACACTGGGTATATACCAATCACAGAACACAACAAATTTATGGAATGTGCTTTTTCATAATCATAGCATTAAATTGAAAGCATTAAAAATTACAAATATGTTAGCGATTAATATCACATTTAGGTTAATTAACGAGGAAGTTAAAAATAACAGGTAAGGCACAAATGGCACAGGGTATGTACGTATAATATATATATGAAACATGCATTAATTGTAGATATGTAATTTTAATATAGTAAGATTTCACAGATTCTTTTATCAAAAACTGAACCTGATTTTTATATGGCAAGAAAAGCACCAAAAGCAATTTAATTTCATAAATGTTCACAATGATGTGGATATATATATATATTATAAAATAACATTTGACAGTCAAAAAAATAATATTAAATAAATAAAAATAATTTATTAATAAACATAACTAGGTTATGGTAACAATTTATAAAGTTATAAAAAATTTAAACATAAAAAAGAATGCAGTGAAGAGTAATCCATTAAAAATTAAAGGGTTAAAGTTTTAACATAAAATTACTTGCAAATGAAAAATATAATGGTTATTTTAAAATGTTCCTTAAAATTAAAATTCCTTAAGCTGGTCTCATGTATTCAGGGTCAAGTATAAATCATTCAGTAAAAAAATAAGAATATAGAATGATATCTTTCAGCTTTCCACTTTACCAATTAGAAGCTAATGATTTTAAAGATAAGTTATAATAAAAGAGATGGGTGAATTCTTTACATTGTTACTTCCTTAAACAAACTTCAGAACAATTGAATGAAAATTATAATTTTAAATTTTAACAGCTAGTGATAACAGCGAAGTGTAACTTAACTAATAGATATGTATATATTATTTTTTTTCTCAGCCCATATAAATAAAAAAAACGCGATGGGAATTCAAAGTAGTGAATAATGGGAGTTAATATTTCTTTAATAAATTATTTTTCTTTCTTATTAATTATAATTTAGCTATTAAGATTAAGGAATTTATCTAAGACAAATTCTGGCAGAATATGAAAAAGGATACTGAGAGATTGTTTCAATCCAAGTAAAAACTCTAAACATAATTTTAGAAATTTAATTCAAAGCTAATGGTGGAATCAAAAAAGAAAACAAACTACTAATTCAGCATCTAAACAGACTGATAAAGTTATTGATATACCTAACAAATCATACGATTTCCTCTAATTTTGTTTGCTATTGAGTTAAAATTTATATAACTCATATTCGCTTAAAATATTGATAAAAACTAATATCTAAGATAAATTAATATTTGAGTCCAATAAAGTCAAAATATAAACCTGATAGTTTAAATCCTGATTAGGGGTTGTCCTTAGACCACCGAGTGTCTCCATCCTAATATTCAAAAGTCACCCACAATAATAACAGAAGTTCAACTTCAAATACTTCAGACGATGGCTTGTGTACGGTTCATTCTTTTTCAAAACAAACATTGCGATAAGTTTTATTAAATATAAATTAAATTCACAGTGTGATGAGAACATGCATATCTTCAGGTGAGTACGTTGCTGAACTCTAGCACACAAAACTTTATTTTGATGGAACCAAAATTCAAGATGATTCTGACAGCCATATCAACGTGATTGCAATTTATTTTTAAAATAAAATAAAACAAAGATGATGTTAACAAAAACAAGCATTTAGTTTCATACACAACATGAAAGTTCAATGATGTAAAATATATCTTTTCTTATCTTAACCCCAATGATGATTTAATGAAATTTTCATAACTTAAGTTGTAGTGCATTTTATGCTACAGGGAATGTCAAAGTATGTAATAAGTTAGTATCTCACAATATACTTGGGAATGAGAGAAGTTTTTAAATATTTTTATGGAAATTTCATCGCGATATTAATGATATACTAAGGAATGCTAGATTGACTTATACTATCTCCACTTTTAATTTACCATTTAATCCTTTGCCTCAGTGAAAGATGAATAGTATATATATGTTAAATATACCATCTTATAAATAGTTTATTATAGTTTCATAAATAAAGAAGTATTAACTTATTTTCAAGAAAGTATGAGGTCTTAAAAGATTAAGATCCATGGAGTTAGGTGTGAATATATCATTAATATAAAATTCAGCCCACAACACATCTTTTGGGTCGATGAAAGACTTCGGGGAAAAAAAAAATGTAAATGTAACAAGTAAAATAAAATTATATAATGTGAATATTATTTTTGTTTAATTTGAAATCAATTATCAGAATGGATTAATAACTTGTTTCAATCCATGGAAAGCTGAAACACATTTTTTCTCTTTCTATTGGTTATAAATTTCATTAAAAAAAGTAAAATTAGCAAAAAACAAAACTTACTGGTTAAATTTGTTTCCCTTTTTATTAAAAATATAATTTTAATTCATATAAAATAACTATTACTGGCTATTGTAAAAATTATAATAAACAAAAAATCTAAACATTATTAAAGACAAAACTTTTCTTCAATAAATTTAGTACATTGACTTTTAATACTAAACAATCAATAACACCATTATCATCGAGGACTTAATCATTTAAAAAAAAAATTGTAAGATTTTAAAATAATTTTAACCAATATTATTATAAGTTTAGATTAGTCCAAGTTATTTTTTCAGTGGCAATTAGTGGCATTAAAATATGTATATTTAAGTACAATATACCTATGTAAAATTACAACATAAAACTAAAAAAAGAGGCAACATTGCATAAATATTTTCTTGTTAAAATAACTTTAGAATTTATAAATAAAAATACAATTTATAAAACAAACAATAAATATTGTAACATTCACAAGAACAAATTCATATAAATGTTATTTAAGACATCATCATAACTAAATTATTGCAGTTGATATGAATAATCACCCATATAGATATTGCACAAAATTATGTGTAATTTTTCAATTATCACATCTAAGTTACAGCAATAATACAGTGCTACCACAGTAATCCAGCAATGTAAAATTCTGCTCCAGAAATTAGTTTTTTCAGTCAGTGGGGAGCAGGGAAGGAACAATAACAAAAGATTTTGCTTTCACTTCAATTGAATAAAATACACATTAAATTCATGTGTTAGGTTAATTTGTTAACGGGTTTTATATGTCATTGTCCAGCCCCAATAAGATACAAGCTGGATTAATGAGGGTGCACTGTAGAAGCGAGCAGATATCCCAAACAAAAGAGTACATGATACAGAATTAAAAGGTTACACCTAACTTCTCTCCAGGCAGTGTCATGAATCTTAATCCTAATTATGATATGATATTCAGCTTAAATTTTAACATTTACTTTGACTGGAGGATATTAAAATTGTATATACAGTCTGTATATAAGAAAATGCATAACTAACTCAAAACTAAAAAAAAAATAAAATATAGACTACTCATGAAGCCATTTACTAAGAGAGGACTATAACGCAGATAGATGTAACTATGCATTGCAGTGCGGCATGCAGCTGTGCTGAGTCTATAACAGTCTATCCCGGGTACTCGGCATGAAAGACATGGTTCTCCTTACTTTTGTCCCAGCCTTCAACCAAGCCAAGTGAAAGACATTTAAGCCACAGGTGTAAATATACAAAATAAGAAACAAGCTATAGGTGGAAATAAATCACTTAGCCCTGCGATATAATGCATGCTCTAACTGATGCGATAAGATTATAACAAAAATTAAGCAGGCCAACATTCATACACAAAGCTTGTTATTTACAGAATCACACAATATGATACTCATTAATTTTCACTAGCTGTAAAATAAGAAAGTAAAACTATATACAGTCGGACCTCAATAACTTGAATCTCAGGGGACTGACCTGACATTGTTGTTTGAGTTATCTATACTTTGAAATATCAAAATAAAGAATCATTTTAGACTTACCGAATTAAAATTATTTTTTTAATATAGAAGGGAATAATTAAATAAAATTATTTAGTGAACAAATTACTAGGCGATATAACAAGGATGCAAAGAGAAACAAGCATAGTTAGTATGCACTAACATATATTGCACAATTTTACACAGACTAGACTGTAAACTATAAATCTCCCCCTTATAAGAATTAATCTAATATAGAGGAGAGAAAATTGCCCTTTGTACATTTCCTATTTTCTGGAAAAACACAAAGGCTTTAAAGAAATTGAAGTTAGATTTTAATTTTTGCCTTCCTCCACACCATTTTTGATCATGAACTGAACTATTTCAGTTATAAAGTTTTTAAACAATATTCCTTCCAGTGATTGAGGTTTTTGTCAGTTTATTCAATGTATAAAGAAATTCATACATTTGATTGAGATATTAAGGTATTTGAATTATCAAGTTTCGACTGTATGTCAAAGAAAATATTTAAAACAAATAAATAAATTGTGCTATAAATAGAGATTTTCAAATGGTTCATTAGAGTAAATATCATTAAATTAAAATTTTCATAATGTCGAAATATATTTGATTATTTTTCGATGATATTATTTGGAAAACTGAACTATGTAGAATGAAAAAGTAAAATTTTACTACTTTATCAGGACAAAATAATGGTTAATAAGGAGAATTTAGGTTTTTTTTTTTTTAACACAGAGCTTGGGGATTTGAGAAATCGTATTACAAGACATACAATAATGAGGTCTTAATATGTAATAAAAACTTTCAAGATTTTAATCTTAGATTAATTGCCTAATGGATTTATCTCTATTAGATTTATAAAAAAAAAAAAAAAAAATGAATCACAAACATGAACCAAGACTAAGAAACTATCTAACAGATAAATTTATACTTTCAAAAATGTCGGCATACAGCTACTGCTATAATAAGTTATTAAAATCATATGTGTTTTTTCCTCCAATGACTCAAAGTAAATTAAATGAACAAATGTCCAAGCACAGTAACATTGTTGTGAACACAAAGAACAAAGGGAACATACCAAAGTAATCAGTAACATCTTTTCACCAATGTTTGGATCCAATGTGACATAAATTCAAATCCCAGCTAGATAATTTTGAGTATGTTTCATTTAATAATTTTCAGCTCACCAGTACTCAGAGGAAAAGGGCAGAAAACTAGTAATATCTAGTTCAGTTAGAGATAATTAAGCAGAAATAATTGATAAAAAAAAGAAAAATATTTTTATCAACATTATCTAAAAATAAATAAAATAATTAAGTTACAATGATCAATTGCAAATGAAGAACAGAATTACTCCTCCAGGAATTGAAGAGTTTTTAAAAGCCAGGGAACAAAGGCATAAGATTCCTAAATATGCCATTGTTGTAAGAATTAATAAATGGTCCTTTATTGAAATGGGTCAAAATTAAATAATTTATTAAAGAATTAGTTTATCATATGTAAATATAACAGACAATAATATCCATTTGGTGTTCAATGAAAAAGAAATATTTTCTAGGGTAATATGTTAACTAAATATCAGCCATTTAAATTTGTGCATTCTTGGAGCTGTTCCTGAAAGTTTAGCAAAACATCTTGTAGCATATTGATGGGTATAGAATAAAAACTTCAACCTTGTGCCAAATGTGTTGGTCATCTTGTTCTTACAATTTACGAGATACTCTCTAATCAGCAAACTATTTTTTTTATTGAGATATCTAAAACTATAAATGTTAGAGGCTGATCCATTCATAACTGAGCTATCAAACAACACATTAGGGAGAAGATTGAAGCAATCCCTATCATGCTATGATGATTCATGCGAAACTTAAAAGTGAGACTCCAAGAATACTTAAATATTAATAGGAATATTTGACAAATATAGTGTTTGATAAATTATTTGTTTTTTAACAGTAAACTTAACGGCGATTCTACTTCATATCTGTACATAAAAAAATGTTTTTTTTATTTTTGAAATCATCCCTTATAAACAGATACAAAAGGGATGAATTAAAGAGAGAAAGAACATGGACTGTATCATTAGAAAAGTAAGAAATCTTATAGTTACAATAGATGACTTGACGCACTAACAGATTAGGAACAAGTATTATTATTATAAATTTAAATTCTGAATTAATTTAACATTAGTGGGAAACAAATGATACTAATAAAATAATTAGAAAATCAGAAATGAGGTAAACCAACAAAGGTGAGTTTTACACACTACGACTCATCATATGCTTGATCAAATTTAAAAATTTGCATTGATTACAATAAAACTGAAGAAAAAAAAAATCAACTATCAAATATTATAAATAATTGATTAAATTTGAAATTCTCAAAACTTTAAAAAGGAAAGAAAAGGACAAATTAAATTGATAATACAAGAAAAATATGTACTTTTTACGATAAACATCATTCAATACATGTTAAGAAAGAAATCCTTCCTTCGATGTGATGTTCTATTTTGCAATATTTACAACAGTAATAATGAATCGTTATAGTAAAGGGCAAATAATATATCCTCTTACTTATTACTGTTCTTATCAATCCTATTAGTTGAAATAAATGCTCTGATTAAAGTTAAAAGAACCATGCATATTGATTGAAGCAAGAAGATAAAAGTATAATGAAAATCAGATTAAAAGAAGTAAGATAAAACATAGGATTAGTCACAGACTTCTACCCACCTTAGTGGACCATAGAGATATAAGAATAGAAGTGAAAGAAAGAAAGTGTATATATGCTTGCAATATCAGTATTAGCAGAGTAATAATATAATACCAAATCCACATTGGTTTTGAACCTCGAAAAGCTGATTAAAACGAAACCGGAAAAAAAAAATTATGTACATATTTTTACGGGAACAGTTCATCTTCACGGAGTTAAAATTTACAATCATAAGTGATAGTCACTTTAATGACCTAAATAGATCATTTCAAAATTGTGCTCTTATTCAACACCAATAAACAAAGACCAGTTAAAATAACAATACTAAGGAAATAGTAGATGATTTTTAACTTTAATGGGCAGGAAGGGCAGAGTGGCCTAGAGGGCTAGGCAATACCTTCCTATGCTCTTGTAATGAAATACATTTCATCATCCCTACTGATCACTTAAGCATTTTTGTTTAGGGCATTATTCCAAAATGCCCATAACCTTCAGTCACAGAAAAATTAACAACGCTTCCTGACTCATAAGTAAGTGCATCACCAATGCATGGTCCGCCTCGACCCATAAATGACCTGAGCTCGGATTCATCTCGACTCATAAATGAGTCCACTTTTATTAAAGTGTTAAATATAAAAAAAATTTTATTGATTAAAATTGAATAAGAATACTTATTATTTTAAATATACTTCATTGGTATAATTTAATGGTAATAAATAATATAAAATAATATTTTTGTGTTATTGGGTATATTGTTATAATTACTTTATAATAATTTGAATGCATGTTTTTAATTTTCAAATTTTATGGCTATATATATATATATATTTAGGGAGCGGGGTAGCTCAGTGGGTGAGCACTGACTTCCAGCGCTTAAGGTCCTAGATTTGAATCCGGCTAATGAATAGTAATTTTTCATTAGCCTGGATCGACCCTGGGATCAGGAGACCCTCCTGGGGCACACCCAGCCTCTATAAAGTGGGTGCTCTTAATTAAAAAAAAAATAATTAAGGGGAAAACCTGGCGGTTGAGAGTGATATCGGGCCCCATCAACGCCCTGCACAACCGTTGGCGTTGTAACAGTACTTCCTCACATAGTACTGCACCCAAGACCCTCCATGGGATGTAGTGATCCAGGTTTTTATTTATATATATATATATATATATATATAAAATAAAATGAGACCCAGAAGCACCTAAAATACTTAAAATTTGTGTTTCCATTCCATATTTCAATTTTCTAAATACATCAGATATGACTATTATTTTTAACTTCTTGATAATTAGTTGTTCCAAAAAATCAACCATTCCTTTATACTTATATAAAATCCATCAAATAACAGGATGCTTTTAAGATTAACTCTACACTTATATTTACCAACTTTTCGAGGTTTAGAACCATATTGTAATAGCACATTTCAAAGGTGGTGAATTGTAAAAATTTGTGAAATTTGTTGTGATTAAAAGTGCAATTTTTAATATAGCACAATAAAATCTATGTGATTTGAAACTTCCTATAACTTATACTGTGGTGTTTTGTTCATACTTAGACTAAACTAAATGGCTAAATCTAAAATAATTCAAAGTGCCTTTAAGTGATGAATAGACCTTAAAGCTAAGTGGAATAAGAAAAAAAAATCATTACTTCTTTCATGAAAAAACCTCTGGAAATCTAAATAACTATAACAGATTCATAAATATTACAACAGAAATAATAGCAAACAAAAATGAAAGAAATAAAAAAAAATCATTAAGAAGAAACTGTAGATTGTTAGTCACATACACAATACATAAATTGATTAATAATTAAGCACCAAACATCACATATTTCATGTGAAAAACATTGTTAATTTATTCATAACTGATGCGATATTAATTGAAAGCTATCTTTAATTGAATAGTATTATTGACATCACTTTTTATGGATACTTATTTTAGTTTACTTCAAAACTAGAAATCATCAAAAAGTCTCATCTGAAGGTTTAATAAAATCAAGAAAAAATTAATAACAATAAAAAAAAAGTTTTTTTTTTTGTTGTTTCTTTCTTATAAAATATACTTAACCAGTTGAAGTGGAAAAAATCAAATTTTTAAATATATTGATTAAAAATTTTTTTTTTTGTTTTTGCTTGGTGAAACATCTATAAAAATTGGATGCAGATTTTCAAGAAACATGAAGAATATCTACAATAATAATTAATCAAAATAGTTAAGAAATCTGGAAATAAAAAAAATAAAATGAAAATTTTTATAAAAGTGTGCAATCTTAACTATAACAGCATTTTCATTAACGTATTCCTTGATAACCAAGTAATCAACCATAATATCTAAGAAAAGTTTAAAAAAATCAATATAACAGCCAGTGATAACAGTAGCATCTTCATAAAAAGTATTCCTTGGTACTGGTAAAATAGAATACCATTAGAAGTATAATTTACAACTTTATAATAATACTATTGTTTTCGAATTGCTCAGTCCAATATTACTAATTATGTTGTTGAGGACTGGATTAAATAAAAGACATACAATGCCTTGTCCTGCCAGAGACCCATGTTAAATCCAAATAAATCATTATATTTTTATTTCATTTGGCTTTGCAAACATTACTTTCTATAGATCTTGTAAACCTAATAAAATGCAATGGATATCAATGATTTTTATTTTCACGATAATATTTCTCTCTGAACATGGAATTATAAGCTAAAATTGACAAAACAGAACACATTTTGTATGTGAATAGAATTTTTTGATAAAAGATTCTGCTAAATTTTAACGGATAATTATAATTAGCTGAGTAAATCAATTATATTATCTTCCCCATACCAAGCTATTCCTGAGACACAAGATAATAAATCAATATTAAGTGATTGAAAATAGAACATCATAAATTAATATAAGCATCAGAGCTAAAATGATACCAAGAATAAGCATAACACAACTAACCATCCCAACAAAATGTATATAAAATGCAAAATGACACAACAGTAAACCTCTATCAGCTTATTACTAAATGAATAAAATAGTACTTAAACTTTAATTTATAATAGAAAAAATGTAAAAGACCACCTAAATATATAGGAAACATAAATATGAATTAAAATATTGAAGATTTGTTTTAATAAGACCATAATGCCTAGTTAATTTAAAAAACAATGTAAGAATCAAAATAGTTGTATGCTACCACAGGAGTTTTTATATGATGATTATTATTATGATTATTATATTATAGTTCCATAAATGATTTAATATATATATAAAATTAAATAATTATATATAATACCATATATTAACACTTTTAATATACATACAATTTTTATATATACATATATAAATATATATATATATATATATATATATATATATATAATATAATATATATATATATATATATATATATATATATATATATATATATATATATATATATATATATATATATATATAAAGAGAGAGAGAGAGGGGGATAGAAATTTGATTTTTTTTAAAATTAATATTTGCCTTCAATATAAAAACTTTAAACGCTTTTACAAATGGGTCTAGGACTCATAAAATTTTGAGAATTCCCTGTGCTAACATATTCCAACAGGTATTACTAACTTAATTTCAATTCTCATTTGGAGACTAGAGTAATTAGTAAGAATAATTACCTCAGTTATATTAAGGCAATAAAACGTCTAGCACAATTTTTGTACAAAACTTTTAAAAATAATTAATAATTAATAGAACTATTTTAATCTTTAGTATATAGTATACTTTTAGAACAAGTAATAATTTAAAAACTTTTAAAACTAATTAATATCATGATAAAAACAGTATTTACAGTATATTTATAACCAATTTATTTACACTTCAGTCTGACTTAATGTCGAAAAAAGAATAAAATTGAATCCCACATTTTTAAGGGCTCGTAGCTAATTCTTTTGATCCCCCACTTTTGGGGGTTTTATATCATAATTGTATTGCACATAAACCGATATTATGATTTCAAAACGACCAAAACTATCAAGTCAAATATAAATACAATCCTTGGGATTATACACAAATCAAAAATCAGCTCAATAACAATGACCTTTAATAAGTACAGAATGACATGAAGTGGGAAGATGCCTTGATCCCATATAACCTAAAATAAGCAAAATCAAATTATAAATAGTAAATTCAGAAACTAACAGTTAAATTTGAATTTCAAGTATCAGATATTATTAGCAGGCAGAAATAAATTGATAGCAATAAAATAATCATATTTACTATTCGGATGATTATGTAATCATCTAAGAACTATATAATGATAATGGGAGTAAAAATGATGAATGAGAATATGAAGAATGAAATGAAATTTCAAACATTAACATACAATTTTTTTTATAGCATTGTGGTTAAAGTTCACAGGAGTTAAGTTAATCATTTGTTAACTGTTGCTTTTTAATTATAATTTAGTCATTTTTCAACTAAAATCTGTAAGGTAAGGTCTAAGACAATCCTTCAATTAAAGTTTAATTCAATTTGTGAGTTTATTGGTCTTTCATTAAAATTGTGTATTCATTGTGAACGTTAATACATACTTTATTTTTTGCTTAATCAGCTGACCCACAATGTGCTTTCTGAAACCAGTAGAGCTTCTTGAAGTTAAATTGGATAACTGATCATGGATGCTGATTTATTCTCTAAATATGGCTGATCAACAAGAACCTTAATCTAGAATTTTACTTTAAGAAGAGAAACTCATTTTATGCAAATTAAATTAAAACCAGGATCCGGCATAAAAGTCAATATTAAATCTCAAATAAGATTTTTAGAGACCTTTATGTTATACAAAAATAAACTGTAGCTAAAATATGTACCATAGAGGTAATGGCCGTTTTTTTTAAATTTTTTAGATTGCTGTTTTAAAATGATGAAGTTATTGATTAATATCAACGGGTCTTATCTTTTGTAAGTCTATAAAAATAATCTTATTATCACAAATCTATAGTTTTTTTATAGAAAAATAAATCGTTAGAAATAAAGCTGGTCTGGTATCACTGTTTTATTATCTTTATTATTATACAATTAAAACCGCCAGGAACAAATGTTGGTTTTATCAAAGAAAATGGAAGCTCTTTAAAAGTAATTCATAAGTTTAATTCCATTATAAATTAAACAGAGAACAGCTACCCAAAACTATGAAGATGATGACACAGTTCATTATTTATAGTTACCAGAGTACCTGGCTTGGTAATAGTTTATCGATGTTGGATTTTATACCATTTCTTTCTAAAGAAAGTTCGATACGAATAAGTCAATTTTTAACGAGCCAGCTTTTGGACTATAACTAATTTCATTATGATTCATAAGTAACCAACTATTACCTTAGGTGTACTGTGTTGAGTCATGGTGTGTTCGACATAATATATCCTATCCCTTGCTTTCTGAAGTTCTCTATCCAATCTTTGCCGTTCTTCTTCTAGCTCTCGGAGTCTTGCCTCAGCAGCTAAAGAAATATAATGTTGAAAACAAAATACTGAAAATAAATTGAATAAAATGAAACTCTTAACTGATATTAGCATACAAGAGTTTTAGAAGGTAAAATCAATGCATTACTATTAAGACATATAAATATGTTGGTCCTTAATTATTTTTATTTATTTTAACATTTGATGCCATTGCACCTGCGTTGCAGCGCACCCAGCAGATTTGATATGTTAGGAAGTAGCTGTGAGTTTGTTTGATTAGCTTCATTTTGTTTTTTATTGTAGTAGGTCTCTTGGCCATTTTCTTTTTAGTCTGTGTCATTCAGGTAACAGGAGCAGAAGCGATTTAGAATTGAAGAGTGAAATGAATTGTATTTGTTGTGGAAGTAGAATTTTACTGTTGGAATGTTTAAGTCATTATGTACAGTGTTATTTGAAATGTAGAAAGGTGCACAACAATATTTTGAGTTCTTTGTATTTTATTTATGTGTGTTTGTTTTGCTGAACTCCTAAGTTCTGCTCCGTATGTCCATATTGGTCTCAGTATGGTGTAGATCAGTACCTTGTTTCGTAAGTTAAGTGAGGATCTGTAGTCTAGAATATGTGAGAGTAGGTTATTTCCTCCAGTCAGTTCTTGTCTTTTTAATTTAGTATGTATGTTCCAGGTAAGTCTTTTGTCTAAGTAGAATCTGAGGTACCGTATATAGTTTTTTTAAGGTACTGGGTTATTGTCAATCATTATGGGTGAATATGAGGCTTTCCTAAGAGAGTAAGTCATGTGGGTGGATTTGTTAATATTTATTTTAATTTTCCATTTCTCAAACTAATTTTGAATTAATTTGGTCTTTTCTTCGCTTCTTATTGCCCACGTGTTGTCCATACTGATCTGTTATTATTGTTTATTGTTTTTAAATATTGCTAATTCTTCGTGAAGTTTTCTAGTTAGTTTGTTGAGTTCAGTTTTATATGATGGATATCTGTCTGGTTCTTTGCCATAGACCTCTAACCCTAGGTTTTTCTTTTATAAGAATACGTATTGGCTGAGATAGATAAGAATCAGATTTAGTGTATGTCCTTGTTGGTCTCGTCAAATGCCAAATATTTTTATATCTTAATGATAAAAATTAAAAACCCAATAGTTTCTTAAATTATTAAAATTTAAAACCTGACCATTTAGGAATTTATAAAAGACAATATATTATACAATAGAGGATAAATTTTCAGGAAAAATACATATAAAATGAAAATGATACATAACAGTTTTTTTTTGTATTTACCTATAAACAGTCTCTTGCTTAAGCCAATTAAAAATGACCTAAAATTATACAGTTCATCTAAGTTTCAGACCCTTGGAGACATTGTTATAAAAACTATCATCATAAATGGAATGGGTTTTGCTTTTTAATTTACTATGGAAAACATTAATTTTACCAAAAACGATTCAACATTTAACAAGAGAGGTCCAACAAGTTGTATACAAGATTATACATTATATCTTCATACACTGTAAAGAATTTCTTGATGATTTGATGGATGCAGTAATTTATGAACCTTAGAGCCATTAAGTTTGTTTTTGTGACCACAAAGGATTTTTTTCCTTAAGCTTCCTACAGTGCCACAAGCAAATAACTGCATAGTTAATTAAATAATGCAAAAGAGGTCTGAAAAGACAATACAAGCCTAGTCTCTATAATTGTAATATCCCACTACAATTTATTTTTATTATATTATTAAAAAAGTAATAATAACAAAATAATTCTAAACAAATATTAATTACCTAATAACTGATTTTCTTTTTCTTTCTGTTTTGCTTCAAATTCCCTCCTTTTCTCCCTCTCCTGCTCCAACAAAAGCCTTTGTTCCACTTGTAATTGCTCTAATTCTTCTCGTTTTTCCCATTCTTCCCTTAGCACCCTGATAAAAGGAAAACAGAACAGTTAAGAAATGAAAGTTTCATGAAACAGAACATAGCTAATCAAATAAAACACAGAATAAATAACCAATAAAAATAAGAGGGATAGAGATGGTAAGAAGCACAATTAATAATAGTTTGAAAGTATAAAAGAAAAAGAAGAAATATCTGACGACCAGTTTGGAAAAAACCTGGCGGTAAAACATGGATGCTGCCTACATCTCCTTTTATAACTATTTCTGGGTTCAGTACTATCTTGGGAAGTACTGTTTCTTGGTCAAAGTCTATGGAAACAGGTGATAGGACCAAGAGCACACTCAACCACGAGGTTTTCCCTCTTAATTAATTAATTAATTAGGAGTACTGACTTTATAGAGGTTGGGTGTGCCCCAGGAGGGTCTCCCGATCCACGGCCGATGAAACAGAATAAGTAATTTATATACCATCTGCCGTTTTCGAACTCGGGACCTTGAGCTCAAGCAGTTGGTGGTATATAATAATGAAACATGTTTTTTTCATACAAAGATTAAATTTTATTCTATAATGTATTTGCCGATTTTATTAATGACCTATTGCCATCTTTCTAACAATTTAATTGTTCTGCCCTCATAAACCACCAGAGGCTTAGAAGCGAAAAACTGTATATAATTATTATTTTTAGATATAACTTGAGAAGTTTCTTCTTAACAGTTTAAATAACTTAAAATTACTTCAAAGGAGGTTTCGTTGGTCATAGATATAATCAGGAAAAAAACCTTTGCAGTGTGTTTCACCAGATCCCCCCTCCCTTTCTCTCAATAGACTAACATTTCCCTTGTTAAAACTCATACTTGTTTAGCACATTTATGACCAATGTGACAAGGACTAAAAATTATATCTAGAGATGGCCATATCGTCAAACATTAGAAAGGTTTTAATTAAATTTAAAAAGACAAGCTGTGAATCATGAAATCATTATAAGATTGGCTCCTTCCCACTCAGGTATAGACATTTTAAGGCGATTTTGATAAACTTGAAAATCAACACATTTTTGTTAATAATTATTTGCATGTATCAATAAAAATAATGATGATTAAATTAATCGAAATAATTAAAAATTATTTTGAGAATCATACTTAAGAAATAATTTGGAAAATTGTAATTTTGCAAAATAAATTAAAGCTATAACTATTTATATAATATATATATATAACTATTACCTAGCTTGAAGTGATCTAACAATTTCTTCATCTCTTTTTGCTTGTATTTCTTCTTCTAAAAGAGCTTCTAAATGTGTTACTTGTTTTTCTTGAGCGACTTTAAGTTCTTGGGCTTCTAGTTCAGCAGCAACTCTTGCCTGAAAGATAGATAGTTAATATATATTGTGTATGATATCTTAATATCAACTAACTAAATAAATATTAGTGGGGAAATGAATTTAATAATTCATGTCAAATGATTAAATACATATTAACTACCAGTTTTTCTGCTTGAAGCTGGACTCCCATGTCATGAATTATGCTGGATTTTCTACGGGATTCAGCTTCATCAATTTGCCTTTGTTTTCTCCTCCTTGCAGCTAATGTCCTCTGGTAACCTTGACCTCGTCCTGATTGTGAAATAGCAATTTGTAGTGAGGAGACCCATTGTAATCTGCTCCTATTGAGTAAATTTAAAGGATTTAACATGATAATGTTATGTGTAAAATAATAATGTGACATATAACAATAATGTTATGTGCAAAAAATAATATTAATGTAGATAAAAAGCACGTTACCTATGGTCATGTGGTGCCAACTCAATACATCGCTCATTGGTATGTAAGTAAATCCTGTTAGCTGAAGTATCCACCCAGCAATTGGGATCGAGGTTAATCATACCTGACATAGAATAAATTCTTACATTTTCTTATCCACATATATATGGAATAAAACAATGGAAATATAACAAAGGCAGTTAGTAGCTATTTACATTTTCAATAAAATAAAAAATAATAAAAAAAGGAATCTTACAGAAAATAATAATTAATCATTTACTGAATAAAAGTGAGAAAATTACTAACCACACTGTTCCTTTTCATCCATGTTCTTGTAATAAGCCATTTGAGTAGGCTGAAGAACAAACCAGTACTCCCTAAGTGTAGGTAACAAATATCCCTTCTTCATCAAATTACCCTGAAAATATTTTATTTAATTATTTCTGCTCCCATTACTCGGTAATAGTAAATTACATTATTAGAAAAGATTATTGGCAATTAATTAAAATATAAATTACAAAACATAATAAAATATTGTTTAAGTTAAAATCTTTTTTTTTTTTTTTAATCAACAATTTTAATGAGACAAACCTTTTTTATCACATCACAAAGAAAAGTGCTAGCTAAAGCTGTCACTGCTTCTATCAACACCGGTTCTTCAACATCTGATAAATATTTTGTTTCTAGAAGAGTCAAAAAAGTGGAGAACCTAAAACCAGGGGTATTAACAGTGAGAGAATCGTAAGATTCTTGGTCCCAATCTCCTCCAAGAGATGTTACTAACTGACAGCTAACTAATCCAACTTCACTTCTCTCAAGAACCACCTGAAAAAAAAAAAAATGTTTAAAAACCTTACTTTAGCTTATAGCCCTAGAGTCAGGGCCCAAAAATCGACCTGATCACAGGCGAAAGTTTGAATGTAAATTACGAAAGTGTATGTTATTCTGAGTAAAAAGAACCTTGTCTGCATTCCAGAGCCGCTGCTTTCAAAAATTGTGGCTGATTTAAAGAATATTAGGTCAGTGACTTGAGGATCGATACGAGAAATCCATTATGAAAAATGTAAGAAAAGTTATAATTTTTATAACTTGTATATATGGATTTAGACAAGTAAAAAAAAAAAAATTTAACGCAGGACACCAAGGGAGAACATTTTACAAAAAGTAGAATTTTTTCAATATTTTTTTGTTTTTTCACCTATAACTCCTAAACGATGCAAAGAGAAAAATGTACTCTTTAAGAAATTACAGAACGTTAAATTGTGTACTGAACAAGTACAAGAACTTAATAATTTGATTACGTGGAAAGGTATAAAACCATGGTCAACCAACGCTGATTTTTACCAAATTTGTCAAAAACTGAGACAATTTACTATAAATGGGAAATGAGTTCCGTAAGAGGAAAAACCCATAGAACCAAAGTTGTAGAGTATAAAATATTGCATCCACTAAGTACTGAAATTTTTATTGTAGGCCAATTATATATCTCGAATCGGGATCGTTATTTCTTTATGAAATTCTGTATTATTCGACATATCATTTATCAAAATTCTTGACTGCTGAAAGGTGGAAAAGAGGCTTATACTGCATGTAATAGACTCTTAATAAAAATAACTCAGTAAAGTAGACACACGCTGTTGAAATATTAAAAATCACGTGTACCTTCATTACCAATTTATAACCAACGGGAGATTAATGATTTGTTCGGAGTAAGCGAGTTACATTAAAATAATTTGTACTCAGTGTACATAAAATTTGATGCTCTACAACTTTGAATCTATGGGTTTTTCCTCTTAGGGAACTCATTTCCAAGTTGCATGTCCATTTATAATAATTTGTCTCAGTTTTTGAAAAATATGGTAAAAATCAGCGTTGGTTGACCTTGGTTTTATACCTTATCACATAACCAAATTATTAAGTTTACGTACTCGTTCGACACACAATTTAACGTTCTGTAATTTCTTAAAGAGTACATTTTTCTCTTTGATGCATCATTCAGGTATAGGTGAAAAAACAAAAAAAAAATCTTACTTTTTTGGCTGTAAAAAGTTTTCGCTTGGTGACCAGCATTTTTTACAATTCCATTTTTTACCTCTATAAACCTATATATACAAGTTAAAAAAATAATACAAGTTCTCACATTTTTCGCAATGGATTTCACATTGGGATCCTCAAGTTACTGGCCCAACATTTTTGTAAGCAGCGCTTCTGGAATGACAGACAAGGTTCATTTTAGTTAGAATAACATAAACTTTCGTAGTTTACATTTAAACCTTTGTTTGAGAGAAGTCGATTTTTGGAGCCTGGCTCCAGGGCTATAAAGAATCTTGAAAAAGCAGGTATTATTTTTTATTTATTTAATCAATTAAGATTTTTTTTTTTTTTTTGCATTGGTACTTCCTATACAGCCAAGAACTAATCTAAACTTTTAAAAAAAATCAGTGATATGTTGAAAAGTAAAAAAAAAAAAGATATTATGGATGAAATTAAATTGCCCAGAACTAAATACAGGAACAGATAAAATAATTTCAAGTTTAACATAAATTGTCCCCAACATTTATCTTATTTTATTGTCACAGAAGACATAGGTAACTGAGTTGTGGGTTTAGAATAGGAATAAGGTTCTTCAATATTAGTAAGAATTTTGGTTTAATTCTTGATAAAATTTATAGTTAGTACTTTGATTATTAGCAACCAGGATACATATATAGCAATTAGTGATATTTATTCAGTGCAATGAAAATAATATACACATATAAATTATAGCATCACTATAATAGATGCTGCACTATAATGCTCTTACTTGAAACACATCTTGTTGAGTGGCACATGGCTGAAGCTCCCCGAGCATACAGAATACCCGAAAAAGGTAATGAAGGCACTCATCAGGAAGAATATGTGGTTCCCGGTTCAAGTAAAGCCTTTTACATACAAGCCAGCAGACTTCATCAATACTTGCTTCATATTGCCTCAATAAATTAAGAGAAAGAGTGTCTGGTAAAGATGAGAACACCTTAAAAGAAAAACTGTTTATTATTATAAAAGAATATTAAAAACAAGATTATATTCTAGAATGTATATAATAGTATGATTTAATGAAATTTAAACTAATTGATTTTTTTTTTAAGGAACATCTGGAATCGGGACAGTACAAATCAGGTACAGGTTGAATTCAGCTGTGAAGGATCCACATTATAAATTATATCTTTCAAACCAAGGCTTCAATAAGTTATTATGCTATAGTACAAGTACAGCACTGTAACATAATGGTGTTACACCCAATATACAATGTCTGAATACTCAGACTGACAAAGAGTGAACAAAGAATATTTTACCTAGTAATAGATGTTAAAAAAATATTGATAAACAGAAAATATATCATATTAACTAATGCGTTTAAATTACTAAGAGAAAGAAAATGAAAAGCAAAAAAGATATTCACAGTACCAAACAAGGAAATAATTAAACTGATAAGTATTACTGAAAGATTGTGTCTTCAAAGACCTTCAAATCACTTCATTTCTATATTTTCCTTTACTTTCAAGTAAGCAATTATTAGATTAAAATAAATATTAATTTTTTTTTTTATAGGTATCTAAACTTGAACCACAAAAAGGTTTGTCAAACCTATAATTCATACTAAAACAAATCCATGGGTACGTAATATTGCCTTGGAATTGAATAATAAATCTCAAAGGTGTCTGGAAAGGAAATAACCCTGATATCTTCTAGATAGTGATCATAATACATCTAATATATGTTTTCTCAATAATATATTTTTATACTATACATATTCAGCATATTTTGTAGTATTGTGCAAAATACAATAGTAAAATATATAATATGAATTGTAATAGATTGTGATGCAATAAATATGGATTAACTAATAATCTCACAAGATAAAAGATTGAGACTGTTTTCATAGGAAATTCTTGGAAACTTATAAATTAGACTATTCAGGGATATTCATACTGCCCAATGAACTAAAAATAATTCTAATGGCAAGAATAAATTAAAAGGAATATTTTAGGATATCAGGTCTTAACATAAATTAAATTTGTTTAGAAAATAAACTAACTGTTACTTTGTTTATGGGACGAAACAGGAGACAAGTCTTTTTTTTTGTCACAATATTTATTTATATAAAATAATTTTAATAAGTTATGACAACATTCAAGTGAAAGTCAACAATATCAATACTTTTCTAAGCTAAACAATCTGATTACATCTGCAAACAAGGTATGCCCTTGACTTTGTTTAACATTCTTCTGAACTTTTACACCTTATAATAAAATTCCATGTTCCTGTCTACTGTTGGAAATTATTATTAATATCTCTGTACAGATATAAGGCCTACTGTTAATTTTCCTAAGCAATAATAAAAATATTAAAGGCATTTAGGTTTTTTTAATAAATTACATAAAAATTAAGGAATTAAAATGAGAAATAATGAAGAAATAGAAGATATACCACTCAATAAAATTTATATGATAATAATAATCAATGGAATCAATAAAAAATGCATATATATTTTATTATATAATTTTAAATTATTTATTATGCATTAGCTACTCAGAAAGTGAAGTCAATTTTTCCCTTACAGAAACATCTACCAAGAACATTAAGAGAAAAGTCTTTCCCCCAAGAGAAAATACAGAAGAAAGATTCCCATATAGAGTGGCAACTTCTAACTGACCTTGTCACTCTTAGCCAAAACAGAATAAATGAGTCACCAAAAACATCCAATTTGAATGTTTTCAAATACATTTTTGGCAATATGGAAAGATTTTAAAAACTGCCTTTAAAAATGTTTCAATTTTTTACTAGACTGAGACATTTGGGAGAAACGATGAGGAAATCAAACTGATAAAGGTAAAATGTAAATAGTCAAAATTTGTTTAATAGATATTGAAATAAAAAAACACTAACGTAAAACAAAACATAATGCAGATTCATGAATACTTACTTCTTTTAGTAAATAATACTTGTAGTGATAGAAATTTAGTGAAGTAGTACTTCTATAATGTTCTAATCCTTTTTCAACTCCATATAAATCTAGCAAAGTTCCTATATTAGCAGTTAGCACCTAAAATATATATGATAATATTTACTAACAGCAAACACTAACTAAGTTAGGCTTAATATTGAAGCTAAAACTGATAAATGAAACTTATTAGGAGTGTCATAGCACCTTATTTAAACATTTAACACACATAAACAATAATGACACCTGTTAAGTTTCTGATGTCATCACAAGATGAATCGATCATAAGTGACATATTAGGAACAATTAACGATATTCATACCTTTAGTTTCGATTTTACCACATTTCCAGAGTTATCAGTCGAAAGAGAATTAAATGCATGCCAAATACTATTGGTTACATTCTTGAGGAGAGTAGCCATAATACCTCATCCCTCGTGATTCACTGATAGCAGCTTCCCCACTTCTGTCACTCTATCAACCCTACCCACACAACAGCAAAGAGGTTAAAATATGTTATTGTAAAACAATTAAAGAAACCAACAAGAACATCAAAGTTTTAACATCAATCAATAACAACAGTTTTACTTTTTTATTAATTTGAAGTATTATATCGGGATATAAATTTTATTAATAAAGGATTTGCTTCTAAAAGGAATTAGCTTGAAGGAAAGAATTTGTTTTTGCACCAAAACAGTACATGTAATTAATGTAAAATTGTAAAAACCCATGAGTAAACAGAAATTAGATGTTGAGTTATTATTGTAAAAATTAATGTAACTAATGTAACATTAATAATGTAACTACACAATTTCCTGTCCCTAAAATGCATATATTTAACAAAATAATCGGTCAATATTTCATCATTTCAGGCATTATAAGAACAGAAAAGAACGAAGATTACTCCATGACATCCAAACACATATTATGGAGCATTATGTTAGATGTGATCTTAATTTTTTTTTCTTTCCTGAAGATACTTGAATTGACAAAACGTTGACGGGATATTTTGTTCTTAATCTGAATTTCAGGAAACAAGGCTTTTTTTTTTTTTTTTTTTTTTGACTTGATTCTTCAACTCACACCTGTCAGAAGTTCCGACAATCAGCGAGTGTGATGTCAAGATGAAGAGATTGGTCTTGGAATAGGCGTGAGGGAGAGGAGTACCCAGCGGCGTCCTTCCTGTCTTGAGCGTAATATTTCTAGTTAGTGGAGGAGATCCCTCATCCAGCTTCTTTTAAGCCTCCTTCGGGTGCTATCGGGCATGTTAGTTGTGGCCATGCCTCGAATCAATGAGTTTGTATGTCCGTGTAGGTTATTATGGAATCGTTTGTAGTATGTTCGTATGTGGTCGTTAACTGTTGGCATCTGTAAGTCTTTATGTAGAGTAATGTTACTGACGTACCAGGGAGCTTTGGTAATAGTCCTGAAAGTTTTAGATTGAAAAGTCTGTAATTTACGTATGTGAGTCTTTTTGGCTGTCCCATATATCTGTAAAGCGTAGGTCCAAATAGGCTTGAGTAGGTAAGTATATGTATTCAATTTCTGTCTAAGTTTTAATTTCGAATTTCTTGCAAGGAGTGAGTACAATAGGCGTAGTCTTAGGTTTAAAGTTTTTGTTTTGTTTTTGATATGTTGGCCCCATGTCATTCTTCTGTCAAAGGTCAGTCCAAGATATTGAACTTTGTCTGTCTGAGGAATTTGGATATTGTCAAGGTAAATAGGGGGGCAAGTTTCACGTCGAAGGGTAAAAGTGATATGTTGTGATTTGTCAAGGTTGAGTCGAATTTTCCAGAGTTTGCACCAGTCGTAGAAATTGTTTAGGTGATATTGTAAAGTCTGTGAGGCGTATGCTGAATTTTGATGTCTTGTCAAGATTGTTGTATCGTCTGCGTAAGTCGCGGTCAGAGTATAGAGAGGATCTGGAATATCATATGTGTAAATAATATACAACAGAGGAGCGAGTACTGACCCCTGAGGCACCCCTGCTAGGGCTGGTTTAATGGTAGATAGTTCTGTACCTTGGCAAACAGAGAAAAATCTGTCAGAAAGAAAAGATTGAAGAATAAGATAGTAGGTTGGAGGGAGTATAGTCTTAAGTTTGAAAAGAAGTCCCTGATGCCAGACTCTATCGAACGCTTGAGCAACATCCAGAAATACTCCTGTTGCATATAATTTGTGCTCTAGTGCTGTCGCAATGTAGTCTGTCACTCGGTGTAGCTGATGAATGGTTGAGTGGTGTGAACGAAATCCAAACTGATGTTCAGGTATTATGTTTTCAGTAGTCAGTATGTCAAGAAGTCGTTTGTAGAGAAGTTTCTCAAAGATTTTAGAGCATAATGGGAGCAAGCTGATGGGTCTGTATGATGAAGGAAAGTCAGTGTTTTTGTTAGGTTTGTGAATCATTTTTATGAATGAGTATTTCCATTGTAAGGGGAATTTAGTCGTTCTGAGTATTGCGTTATAAATTGATGTTAGGTATACTAGAGCTTTCCTTGGCATTTTCTGGAGCACTTGAGCATTTATCAGGTCATGACCGGGAGCTTTCTTTTTAGGTAACTGTCTGATTTGTTCTGCAACTTGAGTGGGAGTGAAGCAAAGTGGAGGTAATGACAGTTGTAAAGGAATGTCTAAAGTGTTTTGTACATGTCTTTCGTGATCAGTATTAGAGAAGTCAGTATGTGGTATGAAAACAGAAGAAAGATGGTTGGCAAAGAGCTCAGATTTTTCAAGGTCTGACACAGCCCAGGAACCATCTACGTTTCGGAGTGGTGATGACACCTCACAATGCTTTACAAGTTTCTTAGTCTGTCTCCATAAGCTTCCATCGTCAGTCGAAAGATTTTTGAGGTAATTGTCGTAGTTCGTTCTTTTAAAATTCTGAATCTGTCGTTTAAGTTCATTGTTAAGTCTATTGAAAGTCCGTTTGTCAGATGGAAGTCGACCAGTCTGCCACACTTTGCGCGCTCTTCTCTTTGCTCTGATCAGGTCTCTAATGTACTGCGGATAGATTGGAAGAGACGTATTTCTGCTAGGTCTTGGTACAGATGATGACCATACAGCCTGTTGTAAGCTGATTGTGAACTTATCAACAGCTTTTTCGAGTTCCTCTTCGGTCTTAAGGGACATTGGGATTGATAGCGTCGAATTTAAGTAGTCGCTGTAAGCTTTCCAATCGATTATCCTATCTGTAAGTGTTGGTTTTTTTGATGCAGTACGAGGCTCATCGCATAGTACCAAACTGAGAAGAGAATGATCAGAACAAAGATCAGAGCTTGCAGTTACAGTATACGGCACTGTCCTGAGTCCTTTAGTAATGAAAAAGTCAAGTAAATCTGGTGTTTTCTGTCTTGAAGTTGGCCTAGTAAGTAGGTGTATCAGGTGAGATCGTGTTTAATGAAAGCTGATCGATGGCAGACTTTAGATTTCTTCCTCTAGGAGTACAGAGTCGTGATCCCCAGGACTGATGTTTGGCATTATAATCACCACCTGCAATAAAACACCGACCGAGATGTTGGAAAAAATTGTAAAACATTGCAGATGTTAGCACGTATCTCGGAGGGCAGTACACTGCAGCGAAGGTAATGGTATGGTGCTGGGTATACAGAGTAATTGCTGTGGATTGTATGTCAGGTGTAATGGGTAATTGTAAAGGGTTGTGTTTTAGTGATTGCTTAATCAGTATTGCCGTACCGCCATGTGCCGTCTTATCAGGGTGGTCAGTTCTATATATTTTGTAGCCTGGAATGTAAAATTTAGAATGTGGAGTCAAGTGTGTTTCAGTGATGAGAGCAATGTCAGTCCGTTTTTCATGTATGTACATGTCAAGTTCAGTCCTGTGTTGGTTTATACCATTTGCGTTCCAGAGAAGAACGGACATGGAGCCCACTGTCAGCCGATTAGTAGCCATAACTGGAGGATAAGGCTTGTGCAACGTGAGACAGTTCTTGGAGAAGGCTGAAAAGAGGCTGGATGAGGTTATTCAATCCACTTACCAAGTTGAAGAGCTGAGCTGAAGCCGGGTGATTGTAAGTCGGTAGTGGCGGTTGAGTAATGCCCTTTTTCATTTCTGGATGCTTTGGCTGGTGAAGGTGATTTTCTGGGACTTCTGTAGGAGAAGTTCGCAGTTTTGGTCCTAGATATTGAGAATCGGGTTTTGAAGAACCTGAATTTGCGGTATGCTGACTTTGCGGAAGAGAAGGAAACTCGTCTATACCTGGGGGTGCGCTAGTTTGTGCTTTTTGGGGACTTTGTATATTTTTACGGAGATTGCGTACTTCCCTCAGTTGTTTTAGAGTTGCACAACCTCTATAATTTGCTGGATGGGATCCGCTACAATTCGCGCATGTTGCTGCGGTCTCTCTTGTCTTTGTGCAGACGGTGCTATCATGTCCTTGGCCACATCTCACGCACTTCGGGGAGTGATTGCAGTAAGCCTTTGTGTGGCCATACTGCTGACAACGGGTGCACTGTGGAATCATTCTTTTCTTTCTTGGCTCTTCGATTTTCACTCTAGTATAGTATAAAAATTTGATATCAAAAATTTTTTCATTAAATGTGGCTTTAGAGATATCGATAAAGAACATGGGAAGTGGATTTTTGTATCTGGAAATAACGTTCACAATACTTGTGGCATCGTAGCCTAGGCATTTTAATTCGTATTTTATGGTTTCAATTGGAGTAGCATGGTGTAAGTTTTTTAATACGATTCTTGGATTTCTATCTTCTATTAACTGATAGGTATGGAAATCGGCACCTACCTGTCTTAAGTTAGCTACTATACGTCTATATGTGTCAGAGTTTTCAGGATATACGGTTACTCCTCTTGATGTGGATTTTAGGTTAAAGCTGTTCAAACCTCCTACATTTTGGAGAAATGTGACCAGTTCGGTGTAGTTCTGTACATCATTCAAGTGGATAGGGGGCGGTTTTACAGAAACTGGTTGCTTAGTGGTAGCATCAGACTCGTCACTAATGTTAGTTAAAACTTCAAAACTATTAGTGGTTACTGTTGTAACTTCACTTACCTTTTTAGCTTTTCTTGGGTCTCTGTTATTGTCCATTGAGCGTTTTCTTCCTGTAACGAGTTCCCAATTATTTTCAGTAGTTTGGTTTGAGTTTAAAGCGTCCACATTTTCTGTAGAACTGGCAGATATCGACGTCTCAGGCATCGTTTGCGGTGAAACCGCTACACCGAGGTGTGGAGTTCCTATTTCTTGGAGCTAATTGGTTTCAACAACAGAATGCAACAAAAAGAAAAGTTTTCACTGTTAATTTACTCTAAGATTTTGTCAAAAAGATTTTCAAAGAAAAATTAACCTCACTTTTATCAATGTTCACACATGATCCCAACAAGGCTTTTTGGTTGTGTTTTTACAATTATACTTTGAGTATACGTAACGAATGCAAATCTAACGCTCAACAATCTAGATGATATACCAGCTTTTTTAAATAGAAAAACGACTGAAACAATTTAGATAACACTTAAATTGCTTGTTATTCAAAGTCGCCAGATGGTTTTTAGCAAGAACTCTTAAGGCCCGCACACATTTTTTATTTATTTTTATTTTTTTGGGTCCTCCCCTTCCTCGCCTTTAAGGCTATACGGGGCTTTCCCGCGCCAGGGAGTGTCGGCGGGGATTTAAAAGACGCCCCCGGCACCGGGTCGCGAACTCGTGACTATATTTTATCACTGTATCATATATCAGGTTGCCGGGCAACGGCGGTGCTGTGCACACACGTTAGCTTGTTCGGCCACCCCACCCACTTGGCACGATGGAGTACGATATGTATCGGTGATACGACGATATTCCTGTTGGCGGCGATATGACGATATACATAGTCAGAGGTGTCCCCCCCCCCAAGGTTGATAGCGCAAGAACCTACCCTTTCCCCCTTCCACGATATTGTATTGCTCACCTTTTCATAAAAACAGAGCAAGGGAAAGTAGAATTAGAAAAATCGCATATTATACATAATTACACGTTCTGTGGTCTGTTTTTCTAATTTTCTGTTTCTTATTCTGAAACTTTTCATTCCAAAAATACCTAACCCCATTGAAATGTTCCAGCTCAAAAATTCAAAAACCCTTCAAAATATTCCTCCCTCGTAAAGTGTGGGCGAAACAATATCATCGATAAGCTCAGCCTCAACTAAGAGTTTAGAAACTTGCTCTATTTATTGGAGATCTTGCGTTAAATAGTTACATTATTGTTCGTCTTTCACAGGCCGCTTCGATGGAACAGAGTACGTTGGGCAGAAAGGCTAAAACAAATATGAAGTTTCAGAAAACTTTTAATATAAAGTAATTTTACTCTTCTTGAAGAACTCAGTGTCAGGATAGGATTCTTCGGTACGTCGTCAGGGAATCTAATAATTTTATTTTCAACGCCCTAGTGGAACGGGACTTATTACAATAAAATGAAAATGAAATATTTCTTTATTATTATGGGGAAAAGTACTTTTAGAATAAAATTAAAAGATCACATTGAGCATAATGGCCAAACCAGTATCGCCGTAATCATTAATACAAATAGAACTTAGGTGAAAATAAAGCACAAAGGAACAGAACATTTATACAGTAAATAAAACTAAGAAGAAAAATACATTAAATAATAAAAATGATAACAATAAAGCTGTATAGATAATAATAAATGGTCTATCATCTTGGCGAATAATAGACGGGATAGAGTTCAAGAAGAAGGCAGCTCGGGCTAGGAAGGATTTTTCAAAAGCTGCAGTTCGGTGGGAAGGAGGGTAGAAATCAGAAGGACGGAATCGGATGGAAGATTTAAATTTCAGGCTCTGTAATAAGTAGGAAGGACGCAAGAAAACACTGTCACCTGTGAAATGGGTAGAGCCAGTTTAGCTCGACATGATAGTGGATTACTCAGCTATCTCTAGCAATTCCGAAATCAAATCTAACTAAGCAATTCATAAGCCGTTTAACTCTTGTTTGAAGTTTGCCAGAAAGCCCGCCATACACTGAACATTCCTAGTCAAAGTTAGGGAACAACAATGAAACTAGGAGTTGAGGGATTTAATGTGGGAGAAGATAACGGAGACGATTATATATTATATAATTTCAGATTGTGTTTTATTGATATAACATTGTACTTAAAATATACTTTAAAAAAATTGAAAACCGTTAGCGGTTAAACTTCTATTCCGTAGAAATCAAATGTTCCAAGGGAAGAAGAAAGCGAGTACACCAGGAAGTTTTATTATAATATTTTTTTCAGTTGACTATATTCACCTTGTAGCACGGGCGGATCTACGGGGGGAGGGGGCTTTCGGGCCGAAGCTCCCCCCTCCCCAAAAATGGTAAAATATAGCCATGTTTTATCGAAAAAAATATTTAAAAAGTATCTCTTAAAGTATTATTCTTTGTGTAATTACATTTAAAAGGGCTTTAGGAATCACTTAAACACCATTTCATACAGGTAGTTAGTTTCTTTCTTTTTATTGATTCTATCTTTATTTGGCCTTCGAATTGGTCTTTAATACCAATGCCAAATACCATGACACCAAGTGCTTCGATGAGGTACCCTGATGAATTGCCATATTCCGCCCATTCTAACCTCCTTACATTCATATCATGAGATATCAACCTGGAATTTGCTTTCTACCGTAACAGTTAGTATTCATATCTCGTAGCCAAACTGGCTTTATTACAGATGGTTTTAATACTACCTTAAGTTTAGATTTCTTGAAATATCACTATCTAAGAAAGGGAAATGGAAGTCCTTTTTGCGTATGTTTTACAATGATTTGAACAACAGCTGAGCTGAGCTGACCCTTGCTACGTCGCTCAACTTCGCTCACCACAGCTCAGCTGCGCATTCTTCGGTGGCCGGTCAGCCTTCTCCGTGACAGCGAGTCTTTCAACTACTTCACGCACACGACTGCATTCAAAGATATATTAACAAGGAGAAAAATATGACCTGAGAAGAACATGACGAGGGGTTCAAAACATTTTTTTTTCGTCTTCAGTAAGATTGTTTACGCTCTCCATTTCTTCAGGATAACTGTGACGAATTTCTTCAGCATTTCCCAATGGTCAAATTTGTACTCCTACCGGGTACAGTAAAATAGGACTGACCGACTTAGCTAAGTGGTGGTAAATATTTTTTTAAGGAGAAACAAATTTGATATTAGTTATTCCAATATAAATAGTAATTATTTTAACAATCGTTTGTCTGCACAAAACTTTGCATCCTTTTTCGAATACTGCAAAAATTGTGATAACTTCAACGATCCATATTAAAATTATCAGGGATATAGGGCTCTATAGACTACATGACATAGTACAAACCAGACAACTGTAAACAAATTATAAAATAAAAACGTTTGAGGAGTTTTTCTTAATTATTTCTTATAAATTCTTAAAATATAAAAGTTAATATGGTTTGGAAGGACAATAATTCAGTTTTTCAACAAATAAGGTAAAGTTGGATTCGGAGAAAAACCTGTGAGATTATGAACGTTTTAGCCAACGGCCGAAAAATAAAAAATAAAATCACCAAGAAAATGATGCACCCAAATTTGTATTTTTTGAATGGTATAAAATTTACTATTTAGCTCTAAAGGATATTAAAACGAACTTCCTATTTCATAAGAAAATTTGTTTGACCTACTTTACCGATAGCATTTTTTAGTTTTTAAAATTTGTGATAAATTATAACTCATTTAATACAATCGGCATTTAATACAATTTTTTCTAATACTACTAAGTAAAGACAAAAAAAAAAAAAAAAAAAAGAACCTTTGCTTGAAAATGGATACAATTATTTTAAAATATATTTTTTATCTTATATTATAAATCTCTGATGTGAAAAACCAATTTTCCTCATTATTCCCTCATTACTATTTCTGCCCTTAACGTCTTTCAAAAATACAATTAAAACTTGATCTCTTATTTTTGGAGTTTTAATTCTTCTCCTATTATTTGCATTACAAACTTGTCAATAAAAAATAATATAATTGAGCATTTTTATCTTCTTAATCTCAAGCGATTTTATTATATAAATACAATATATACATATATATCCATTTTTACTTTTTCTTTGTACTGCCAGATGATCATAGATATCAAAATAAAAAAACGTCGATATATACATCGGAATTATAAGTAGCGATGAATATACGTATATAAAATTTATTTCTATAAGATCAGCAATTCAGTTTAACTCACCGGTAGATCTACGGGGGGGGGGGGCTCTCGGGCTGAAGCCCCCCCAAAATGGTAAAATGTAACCATGTTTTACAGAAAAAAATATTAAAAACTATCTCTTAAAGTATTCTTGTTCGTGTAATTATATTTAATAGGACTTCAAGAACCACTTAAACACCACTTCATATACGTAATTAATTTCTTTATTTTTTTTTCAAATTAATTATCGTTATATGTATATGAAAAAAAAAATCTTCCACGCTGAACCCTCTCCCAAAATTAAATCCTAGATCCGCTAGTGGTTTAACTAAAATTATAAGATAAAAAATGTCGCATCTAAATAATCTGATGTTCTATATTAGGCACTGGTGCCCATCCCCCTCCCTAAGGCTTCCGGAGGTTTCCGCGGGGCGTACTTTCTATGGAGGCCCCTGTTCTATGGTAATGCTGAAAATGTTATACAAAAAATCTACAAGAATATATATTTTAAAAAAAAAATCTTTTAATCGTGTTTTCTTGAATCTCTTATTTTTTCTGGATGATATTCATCTGTTGTCAGCTGTACAACTTTTATTTTACCGTTGCTCTGGATTAAAGCGCACGCAGCCTTGTTATATTGGCTGGAGTAAAAAGATGAAGAAAACACTGTCAACATTTTCCAATTGTGATGAATCTAAAAAAATAAAAAATATTTTACTTAACAATATATGTATTTATAAACACTGCTATGGTTGATTTTATTTTCAAAATAATTAACTATAAAAAGTGATAATAGTAAATCAAAATTACAACTTTTATAATTTCCATCTTATTCTAAGGTCTTTAAACATATCAAATCAAGGAAAATATTAAGTTATATCTGAAAATGATGGATCCAGATTAAATTTCAATATATATTAGTTTTCACAAACAAAAAAAAACAACTAACAGCATTGTTTCACATTGCTAAATCTGTCTTAATTTCTTATCTCCTGTGATCGAAAAATTAACTTATGTAATCTAATCAAATTAAATCATTAGATAACCTAAAAATTACGGTAAAAAATTAAGCTCGAGAATATGAAAAATGTTAATTTAAACCATCACAGATGAAAACATCTACAACAACTAGTCAAATGTCAAGATCGAAACTAAGAAGGACGAAGGTTGATAACTGATGTCCTCCAGAAGGATGTGGATGTAGGTCACACCATCACTAACGCCAGAAAAGGAAATGTTTTTATTTTATCCAGGATAGATTTTGGGATGTATTCTTGGGTGTGAGGTGAAGGCGAATTGTCCATATTGGTAACTGGGCGAAGGTCACTGACCTGGAAGCAACAATCATGTCTTCCAGCCAAGATAGTCCACAGACAATCAAGTATATAACAGTGACAAATAATCAGTTATATGGAGTAAGATATCATTATGTTAAGAAAACGTTGCTGATTTTTACATAAAGGTTTATTATTTGCAAACAGTTACATATCAAATGTAACACTACTTTCCTTGTCACATAGAGCAAAATAAATAAAAGGTGATTCCTAATATTGGTTTAAATTTTTTTTTTTTTTTTCGTCACTTGTAATTTTTTTAAGAAATATAGATAACAACGTCGTTTGCTTAACAATACATAATGATACGATAATACATAATAATAATAATACAACGGATGGATTTTTAAAAAAAATTAATTTCCAGATTCTCTATATCTTGAAACGTAAAACCTCAAATTTTGAGGGAGGGTTAATTTTATTTTTTCATGGTCGATTACAAAGTTTAATTAGTGAAAATAATAAACTAGAAATATTTAAACATCCGATATTTTCACTAACTGTGATCTGATTTAGATGAGAAGTTTTTTGTTTTTTTTAGGAAATTTAAATATCTTTGAAACATAACAAATAAAAAAATTGTGTATACTTTTTGAGTTATTCGGAAATCTAATTTTACCATCTCTCCTAACTTGTTTTTCTGTACATTTTCGGTGAAGTATGTTATATAAATAAATTTAAAAGGCTTCGACGAAGAAGATTTTGGCCAAGTACATACCTGCAAGCGATACAGTCTATAGCACGGGCGGATCTACGGGGAGGAGGGGGGACTTTCGGGCTGAAGTCCTCCCCAAAATGGTAAAACATAACCATGTTTTATGAAAAAAAAAGTTTTTTTTTAAATTATCTCTTAAAGTATTATTGTTCGTGTAATTACATCTAAAAGAACTTAATGAATCACTTAAACTCCATTTCATATAGGTAGTTAGTTCCTTTCTGTTTTTCCAAAGTAATCATCGTTATTTATATGAAAAAAAAGCTTCCGGGCTGAAGCCCCCCAAAATTAAATCCTAGATCCGCTAGTGGTCTATAGCGACACAGGTTGTTCGTCCTCCATCTTGAAATGAAAAGGCGGATGGTAATGCAGATTTCCGGGGATGCCCTTTGAAATTGATGACATTGATACCAAATTTCAAAACAATCGGTCCAGTAGTGTCGGAGAAAAGCTATGAACGACGTGAGGCGGATGGACGTTTTTTTTTTTATTTGATTTTTGAGTTCTACGTATCTTGAAATGTAAAACCTCAAATTTATAAGGGGTTATATTTTTCTCATGGCCGATTACAAAGGTTTATTATTGAAAATAATTTTAACCAATATCAAAAATCCTAAACGACTTGTTTTACAGATATTTATAATAATTTTTTTTTTTAAATTCAACATCTTGAAAAATGTGGAAGGAAATAAGTGTTTTAAGTAAATTTAAGGTCTTCTGACTCCAAATAACCAAGATTCACAAAATGGTTGTTAATTAAATATTTAAGGCGGGTCTATACCTTTTGGTCAAAATCGACTGACCGAAAAAGGTACTTTTCACACATATTATTATACATTTTCTCGAAAATGGCTCTAATGCAGATTAACTAAAGGCGTAAGTTTTAATTAAACACGTTATAATACATCGCAAAGAAGATCGCTAACTAGATTTTTTCAATTCTTCCCACCCATAAAAAACAGGAGTGTCCTTCTGAAGGTCAGAATATCTGAACATCCTTATTTAACTTCCGAAACGTTGTTTTCATTCTTTGGTTGTTGAACACGAAATATTTTTTTCTTAAAAAAATATCGCTTTCGATAGTCCATTTTCAATATCGATATAACAATATAAATAATATCGAACCAGTGTTACCGTTCGTACGAGGATCCTCGTATTTGTATGTGGTTATGACGCATTGTACGAGCTAAGAGGATCACCTCTTACTTTGTACATAATTTTTGCTGACGTATACAAAGTTATATTTTTATGAATGAAGTTTAGATTTGTTTTACAATTATTTTTACGGCATTGTTATTTATATTAATACGTAATATTTAACTTCTGTTGCTTTATAAACAAATAATTTCCAATTATATCTTCTTTAATTAGAGTATAATTATTATTTACTTCATAAAACCGTGATTGTATATATATATATATATATATATATATATATATATATATATATTTTGGAACACAATAATTGTTACCATCATTTAAAAAACATATTTTCATTTTTTATCGAGTATAAAATAAAATATAAGTATATCCATTATTTCCTACATAAAACTACGATTGTTATATAACTCATTTAAATAGTTCTAAGTAAGCAAGATAAAAATAGAAATTTAATAATAAAAAATTAATATATATTATTTTCAATTATAGGTATTATAAATAATAACATAGTTTCGAACTTCGAAGAAGTCTCAATAATGTGTTTTCGCTTTATTTTTAATAATCATGAGAATTTGTATTCTTTAAAAAGTTTATTTTACTATCGTAATTTTTTGTTGAAATTTTTCAATTGTTTCTAAAAATATATGCACTTTTTTATATATTTAATTTCGTGCCTTAAATTAAACTCATTTTACTTCTTGACCCATTAACATAAAAAAAAAAAATAATACAAAAGGTTTTAAAATATATTTATAGAGGTAATAACCAAAGCTCTGATCTAATTTTACTTTAAAAAACAATAACATAGAGCCTACAATGGCACGAATTTTCAATGAGGAGGTGTACGAGGATATACGAGGTTTGAGATACAAGGATTTGTCACAGGGCGCGCGGCAACACAGTATCGGGCTAAAATTACGATAAATCTTTATTTTTCAGACATTCCTACTTCTGGGCACTCCTGTGACACACCATACACTGATTTTCGTTATAAATGTCTATTTAAATTGAAAATAATTAATAAATAAATGCTATTATGTACACCATGCTTGGGATGCTTCCACAGATTTGTGAACAAATATGTTAGTTAACAAATTAATTATCAAAGTTGAAAACATCGCGTTTAAACGGTTAATTAAAAAAAAGTGTTTATTACAGGCTTCTTTAGACTTATTTCAGGTTTATTAAGGCTTCTTTTTAAATTCTTGAACTGCTTCCCAATAATGAAATTTTAGCTCAATTACTTATATTTACTGAGGCAACCAACATTCACGTGTACAAGCATTACTAATGAAAATAATTACCTGAAATCCCGCTTTTTGAGATTCGTGTGCTCGAACGAGAAATGACAACTGGTTCACTTGAAGAAACTTGTCCAAGGCTTTTTCGTTAAAGATATGCCCAGTTGATCTTCTGATGTTATTGCCGAAACCTTCGTTGGCTGCCATCTCCAGTTTAACTTTTTCAGTTATTTGACACTCCCTGTTTTATAAATATTCATATTTCATAAATATATAAACATTCAACACAAAATAATAAAATAGTACCGAAACAATCATGAACGTATACATAATACATTTTAATTAGCTGATCATTAGGCTTCTACATTAAGTAGTCTAAAACAAAAAAAAGTGAATTTGCAGTTTCAGGAATTAAATATAGTTAATCTCGAGGTAGCATGAAAGATATATACTCAGCTTATATATACTCAGTTTTAATTTAAATAACTAAAATTTAAAATAATAATAATAATAATAAAATATGAACAAAGATATAACTATGTTTAATTATTTGTTTTCATAGAGAAATAAAAAATATCCGTTAGCAAGTTCCGTTCCGTTTTCATTGATATGCGATGTAACTTATCACAAGGCTGATAACTCTTTAAAAAAAAAAATTTTAAGAAATGTGTTACATAACTTAATATTTATAAATGAGCACTAGGCATAGGATATCAATATATTTTATAGTAATTCAACCCTTATTACTTATTAATTAATTAAGAATATATTTGATGCATCTAAAAGCTAATTATTTCAGAAGGTTTAATTCTGTAAATTGAAAGTATATAACATTCTATTTTAAAAATTGGCTTGCCTGTCATGCCAAAGCTGGTTTCTAAAACAGCGGAGATGCAAATACGTACAAATTTTCAGAAAATAATCCTCATCTCGGAATAGATGAAACTTTTATATACGATAACTTCTATTAAAATGTGACGTTTTTAAGAAGTATACCGTTTCTGATACTTTGGTGTCATAAATAAATTCTATATATATTAATTTTAGTTATATAACTCTGACATCCTTACCCATCCCAACACTGTCATCACCACATATGCCGATGACACATGTATCCTATCAGTAAATAATGACCCAGCAATTGCATCCCAAATGCTTCAATCACACATCATAAATCTAGAAGAATGGTGTCAAAACTGGAGAATTAAAATAAACTCCAATAAATCCCACCAAATTACCTTTACCCTTCGTTGTAAACCAACAACTTCCTGTCCTACAGTTTTCTTTAACAATACTCCACTTATCCCTGTTGAGCAAATCCGATACCTAGGACTCCACCTGGACAAACGACTAACTTGGAATCCTCACACTAGACTGAAACGACAAGAAACCGCTCGACGTTTACGGTTACTTCAGCACTTACTAGACAAACGCTCTAATCTTCCAATTAATTACAAAAGACTCATATACTTGACTATAATAAGGCCTATTTGGACTTACGTAGTTGAGCTATGGGGCTCCACTAAACCATCGAATTCCTCTCGTATCCAATCCTTACAATCCAAAATCCTTCGTAAAATCCTCAATGTTCCCTACTTTGTTACAAATAAAACCATCCATAATGACCTTAATGTTCCTTTTGTTTCAGATCTGGCCCAATCCAGATACCTATCCTTCCATAACAAACTTCAGAATCATCCCAACCCTCTCGTTTCTAACCTTGCTTCCTCTTCAATTCCTGATAACCCTCCGAGGTGTCTGAAAAGAAGATGGCCCCGTGATCTCCTAACGTAAACATATCATTAGAGTGCTAGCATTGGGTAGTTACTCAGCAAGTGTTTTTCATGTCATTATATACATTATGTTCTAATTTACTAGATGTATTTATTTAATACAGTTGTAAATGTCTTTAAGAAATAAAATAAAAAAAAGTTATATAACTTTAATATGAGGAAGTTTGGATTTAAATGTAATATTTGTAAAAATAAAAATAAAAAGTACCTTTCGTTCGAACTATCATCTTTTTTGCAGCATATCTGAGGTTTTCACTTGACAGAATGACTAATTCCAATTTCAACATTTTTTAATATTAATTCCAGTGATATTTGTAGTGGGAAAATGTATACCTTTATTCTCAATTTGATATTTCAACACTGCAATCAACTACTCTGGAATCGACTTACTGTACAGATATTATAAATTTTCCAAATATCACGCAAATTCATTTACTCAAAAATGTTGAAATTGAAGTTAGTCATTCTGTCTACTAAAAGGCTTCATGTTATAGTTCCCTTACCTTTTACAAATTTTATTCTAATATAATCCTTAATATTTGGTTGACCCCCCACCATGACCTTAATATCCCATTGTCCTAGACCTTATCCCAGCAAAATTCTGCAAATTTCACCAGAACCTTACCTATGTATCATCCGAATCCCTTTGTACAATCCCTATCCAGCACCACCCATCCCTATAATCCTCCAAGAAGGTTAAAACGGCAGTGGCCCCGGCACCTTTAACAGTTTGTAAATATTGGAGTTCTGGCAATGGCCACATTCTTCCCTCACAACATGAATGTATATGGCTAAAGAACACTCGCTCAATCTCCACTGGGCTTAGGTCGAGAGAGAAGTGCAGGGATCTCCTGGAGTCATGCTTTTCTCTCCACAGTTGGAGGAACAAGTCTGACTCGGAGTTCTCTTGCCTGATTGTAACTAGTCTATATAGGTATGTATGTGTTCTTTTTTTAAATTTTTTTTTTGTTATTTTATTCTTATTTATTATATATATATATATATTATTATTCTGTAAAATTTATTATACATAGAGTGTGAATATGATATCTGAACACTATTATAAATGTCCTTTGAGACGGATTGTAATGGATGTGTTATTAAGGATTAAATTCATGTATATATTTTTTTCACTTTTAATTTTTACAATCTAAAACGATTTATATAATTGACGATTGGGAAAAACGCATTACTTGTAATGACGTCATAAGCTTTCAACAGTATGTAGCAAATTTATATAAAATATTCAGTTAAAAAATCTTGGCCTACCTTGCCGGATCGTTCCACATTAATTCCCAGGCGATCCCATTGATTTCAGGATTTGGAAGCGGAGTCGGTACGCTCTGTATAGCATGAATGGTAGGGCAGACCCAAGGCGGAGGTATGCCCCCATGGCAGCAGAATACCTGGATGGAAATACTTGTAAACAGTAATGGGGGTTATTTTACATTTTATAAGATTTTTTAAAGATAAATAATTAAGAATATTTGAAAATCTTAACAGACACAAACCAGGGAGTAAATATCGCGAAATCTTCTTCATATCCAATCTCACCCGATATTATTGGTACTAAGTAGCTAGTACGAAATCAGTGGGAAGTATCCAGACATAGGTGATAAATGAAGATAAATTACAAACTGCTTTTACTGTGACAAGAAGTGTCCTCAGGAAGATTATTTTCAGTAAACCAAGCCTCTCCTTTACTACTGGTGTCCCTTGGTTTCAAATCCTGTACTTTTAACTAATAGGCTCAGGCTGATCTACGGGGGAAAGGGTGAGAGGCTTTCGGCTGAAGTTCCCCCAAAACGGTAAAATATAACCGTGTTTTATAGAAAAAAATATTAAAAACAATCTCTTAAAATATTATGGTTCGTGTAATTACATTTAATAGGACTTCAAGAATCACTTAAACACCATTTAGGTAGTAAATTTCTTTATTTTTTTTAAAAATAATTATCTTCATATACTTGAAAAAAAAATTTTCGGGCTGAAGCCCCCAAAATTAAATCCTGGATCCGGTAGTGCTAACATGCCATTTATTCTGCATACCGATTAATCCTTCATTGAGTTTATTTAAACATATACATTATTGGCGTATCGACGTTAAACTGTTTATTAATTTTGTGATAACTAAGGATTGCTGAAGAACTTTACCTTTTAAGCCTAAATTGATCACCATCAAAATTGCAAAACTGGCCTATAATGAAGCTTCGAAATTAAAGTTATACTTCATTACTATTGAAAAAAAAAAAAAATATATATATATATATATATATATATATATATATATTAATAGTATTAATATATAAGTATATTAAAAATATACTTACACTAAGATAGTATAAAAAACTTTGTTTTAATCGTTTTGTTATTAAATACGACACTTAAGTTATTCATGATTAATATACGTGCTCATTATTGATAAATAATATCTCTGACTGTGACATTATCTTGTCTATAGAATTATATTCTTAGTGTAAATTATAATTGTTATGGCCCTGATCACGTCAACACTTTTACAAACAATTAACATTTGAGTCAATATTGTGTTGGAGTGAATGTTAACCACCTTGAAGCGAGCTAAAATTAGAATATTATTAAACAATTTAGAAAAATTTTTATTTATTTTTCCATGTATTAAAATAAGTATTTCTTGCAAGATTCATGAAATTATTATATAACAAAAAAAAAAAAAAAAAAAAAATAGGTCCAGGGATGTTTTTCTTATGTAATTATTTCGATTGTACAATATTTGAACCTGAATCAACACAATTTTAAATGTAATACTGTTCATTACCGGTTAAATCAACAATTTATCACAGACAATAATAAGTAACGAATCATTACTTTGTTGTCTACAGTAGCTGCCAACGGCATGCAATCGAAAACATCGTTCACGGCATTCCACAGTTTAATTCCAAGCTCGAGCCCACAGCGTCTTACACACTCCCTGTAAAATTGTTTAGGGGGGAAAATAAAAAAAAAAATAATCATAGTTTTATTTGTAATAAAAAAAAAAGTTAAAAGCTTAGATGTAACCAAGGTATACATAAATGTAATCGCTGAGAAACAGCCTTGAATAACTTGATTTTTAACCTTTCCTGGGAACTCAGAACTATTGTTTTATCACGTTTGCTACGTGTGAGAGAATATTATGTTAATGGCTTTATTTTCTGAGAACAAACTGGCCAAAAAAGGAAAATACAAAGTTAATGTAATAATGATATGTTATCCAAATACTGCGAAATAAAATATTGCGGGATACAATTGAAGAAATAACTTAAATCATCATTTACCTTTACGTATTCATAGGTAATTCAAAATGTACAACAATCAAATTTGGTGATGTTGAAAACAAAACTTTCTAAATCTTTAGTATGGAAAACGGTTTGAAACTCATATCTTTAATTTAAAATGGACTTACTTGAACTTAATATTGTAAGTGCTCAAAAATGTATTGTCCCCGAACATCTAATACCGGTTGAAGTTTGTCAGATTCTTTTTACATATCAATTCCCGGTAGTTATTAAGTATGTATATTAAATGCTTGATGTCTGTTTTATGCGAATGGTAAGAATGCGACCAAGAGCGTCTGATAAAATGAATAATTTCCGAAACGTATGTGAAAAAACAAGAAGATCAATCAGTAAAATATAAAATCTGGTGCGTGGATCACACAATTTTCACTTAGCGATCTACTTTAAATAGGAATTATTTTCTGGTAATTTTGGCTTATTACAAAGTTTTTGAAGTGAATTTTTAACGTAACTAAACCTTACGCATGAGCTATACATGCCTTGAGAGATTTGAAAGTAATTTTTTATTGCGTTATTTGCAGAAAAGAGTCAAATAAGTCATTTATTAATACATTTTAAAATTTTGAAGTTTCATAGGATAAGTTATCATCCAACGAATAATGGAATTTCGTATTCCCATAGGATAAGTAGTTAATGACCACCGAGGTCATATTTTAATCAAAATGTTGTTTAAAACCTTTGATAATGATGCATACAAATTCACCTGTGGTAACTTGCGGTTTAGGTAATTAATTATTTGACAAATTTAGTCAAGAAAGGTGTACAAAAAAAAAAAAAAAAAAAATATGAGCAAACTAAGAATCCTAACTATACATAAATAAAATAATACCTAATATAATTTATTCCTTTTCGCCATAGGACATTACAGGAAAGGTTTAGAAACAAATAAACTGAAAGAAAATGCGAAGGAACATGTTCAAGAAAAAATCAAACAAATTTTGTGATTCAAACGGGATACTTTTTTCAGCTCACTATCATGTATATTGTTTTATTTTCATTTTCATATAGGCTGATTTACTCTTCTTCTATTAATTTTGTTTTTGTTTTTTGTCTATCTATGTCCTTTATATCCTATGACAGGTGATAAGTATTGATAATTGATTTTGTAAATAACATTATACAAGTCATTTTCGATTTTACAACTTATTGCCTTTTTTATTCATTGGTAAAAAACAGAACAATAGTAATAACGGTTTATATAAAGGAACATGTAGTTTTTCCGTCGGAAAAGTACACTTTTCTTATTTCTTTATATTAAGAATAGGAAAATAACTCTTCTCTCTGGTTAACTCCAAAATACTGAAAAGTTTGCCTCTGCAATATTGTGAATGCAAACGATATCAACCGGAAGCTATGATAGCGTAATTCCCTCCTGGTTTTCATATTTAGAATAGAATAGAAAACAAAATTTGTTAAGGTTGCATAGGAATACCAAATATGTATAAATAAATAGAAAATATAACTGGCCATAAACAACATTAATAAGGTTCAAACAGTATATACATTTTCAACAATAAAAATACATACACAAAAAATAAATTATCTAGAGAATCTAATAATTGCTTTGAAAAAAAATCGATAGAAAAAAAGAAAGATAAATATATTAAATTTTAAAGTAAATAAATAACGTATAATTATTAAAACTATTATGCACTTTATCAACATTTTATTCTTAAATTAAAAATTTAAGAATCAAAAGCATCCTTTTGTGGTCTGACAAGATAGGTGACAAAGGAGAGATTTTAATGACGAAAGGGAAGAAGCTTAAGTGGTAAAAAAATCCAGAAAGCAGTGGAACGGGGAAGAAAGGAACATTAGAAGATTTTAATTCTGTGAGATGGAGCATAGAGGTTTGAAAAACGAGATCTTGTTTTTTGGGAGCGGGCCAAGAATTGAATTGAAGAAGTACATGTAGGAAGGATGCTGGGAGTTGATAGTTTGGTACAAGAAGGATCCAAGGAAGTATTATTGAGGAGAGAAGGGGAAAACCAACTTTGACTTGGTTAAAGGTGGAACAAATGATAAGCTAACTTATTCGCTTCTATCTTCCCTCGAGCAAAAACGAATGGCCACAAACGACCTCAAATCCATAGTCAAAATGGAGGAAATGAATAGGAAACAAGCAGATTGGTTATGGAAAATGATGAGTGCCATGGAATAACTTGAGTGAACCTATTGATCATCGGGAAATATTGTGAAACATAGTGAACCTACTGACAGTCAGGAAATATTGGCGAAATGAGGGATCCAGGACAAGTTTTGGCCAATAGTAACATCCAATTGTTTAACAGAGGAACTGAAAGTTAGGATCATCATTCAAGACATAAGCAGGAAATGTGGCTGTGGGTTAAAGTGGGAAAAGAAAACTAATTACGAAGGTAAGAGTTTTAATAGCTTTTCTTAAACATCTTAATTTAATCGAGACAGCACTGGTAAATCATATTATCTAGGATTCTATTTTATTTATTGACGTCTGTGGTTACTGTTCAATTCTTATGTGCCGAGTAGTGAATGATATAGAATCTTTCTCAAAAAACGGTGGACATTACCATAACGACTCACCATCTCAATCTTTAATTAATTTACAATAAGGGTTTAAAATTGGACCGAAGTAAAAATGGTAATCTGACTTGTAGAAGGTAATGTAGTGAACATTCTGCTTCTGAGTAGAACGAATCTCGTGGTTACCCCTGATGAGGAATAACGACTGAGGGAATCGAATTTTTTGAGCGAAGAGATAGGCGACTGTCTCAATACCGTTCTCTCCCCTGTCGACGAGGTCCCCCAAGAAGAGGAGGTTGCACGGGAGAAGAGAGATGCCGAGAGGCCAAATGTTCCTCTCGAAGCAGCAGAGGTCCTGGAAGTTGCCGTGTATATCACCTAGTAATAAACAACTATAGGTAAAAAATCCTTTGTAAATCCATTTATGTATATATAATTATTATCTCCTAAATTAATTTAGTTGAACTGGTTCACCTTACCTATAATGTAAACAGGAGACTTCAAGAGGAGCATTCTTTTTTCTTCATTGAATATGTGTGTTACATTTTCACATACTCGAATAAGAAGCTGTATAAAATATTCTATATCAACCTAGGAACAAAATATTTATTACTATATATTTTAATAAATCTTAAAAATTAAGACATTATCTACTCTCATTAATAAGATTTTGATGAAATTTGTAGGATATTGCGGATCCGTAAACTACGTTTATCAAGATTGTGATGGTTCTGTATGAATTTTATCAAATTTTATCTATGACTATGTTGGAAACAAATTTTCCTCGTTATGTATATATTTAAAAACAGTTCCTTCGATTTGGCCTAAAATTCGATATATATTGAGGAACAGTGTAGGAATGGTTTGGTATCAATTTCATCAAGTTCCATCCAACAATTAAATTTACTGCAACTAAATAAACAAACTAAACTACAGTAATTGTATATTAGAATTTAATGGCTGTAAAGTGAACTAAGTAATAAACATAAAGTAACAGAAGGTTTTATTAGTTTTAAAATGTATTTCTTCCCGTAGTCCAATGTATGTGACGTGACTAACAGCTTCATTAATTCGATTTGATGAAATTTTCGAGGATTGAAAATCTCGTCCATTGCTTTACTTTAACAGTTCGTTTTTGGGCTTAAAAACGCAGGGCAGTTCAGAGAGAACTATCCGGGTCTTGTAATTGGTAATTGGTTGACTGTCGTGGATAATGAAGAGAAGAATAGTTGGGGTGCTCAGTCAAAAAAGGAAGGCAAAAAATAAATTATAATATTTATTTTTTACATATGCCGACGTTTCGACCTGAAGTTCAGGCCTTCATCAGGGCTAAGAAAATAACCAGATAACAAGGTATGAGAAACATAAGTAATGATGGTAAAAGAGAGAATCACTTTATTATCATAAAATAAAGTAAAATGGTGCTGCCCAATTACATTGGGTTGCTAACAACACAGCATACTTATTAATCACTACAGACATTATTTAAAATTATTATACAATTATAGGATTAACAATATGTATGAGCATAGTATACAATATTTTATACGTATATATATATTATTTTTTTTTTTCCTTTTTTTTTTTTTTATAATTTTTACTATTTCTTTCATTCATCTATTATCATTCTGTACCCTTTCTCTTCCTTCTCTCCCCCTATACATGTTCCCACTCACATTCCCTCCTCTCCCTTTCTAACCTAATACATAAAAAAAAAAATTCATAAAGTACAGTGGACGTGTTCAATAAATAATAATATAAAAAAAATGCTGTAACACACGCATGCCTCCCCCCCGCGATCAAACTCTCCCCCTATCCGCTCCCATGCACATGGTGGTGGATGATTCCCAGGGAGTCGAGGATTATACTCTCTGCCAACCTTGCCACGTCCTTTATGTCGACACCAAGGCCCTCCATGAAGCTCCTTGTTGAGTCTGGTATCGTTCCGCGAGCTCCGAACCAAAGGCCTCTTACGTGGAACTCTCTCGGCCCGAAACTCTCGCGGAACTTTTCACTAAGGAAAGGGATGCATTTCTCATATATCTGTTTTTTCTCCCTTTCCACTTTTTCTGCCTGATCGAGGTCGTTGGTCTCATATCTCACGGTCGGATCCAAAATCATCGCCGACTTTCCCGTCTTAGGGAATGCTACAATGTCGGCATATCGGGTGGATCCATCCGTATCTATACAATATACTTCCTCGAAACAGGCGTATTCTCTCTCTTCAAGGAGCCTCATCAGTTCATGCTTGACTCTGTGGTGACGGCGTGTTATAAGGAGGGAGTTGTTGGGGCATTTTCCCAGCACATGTGCTGGTGTTTCTGGCTCTCTGTCGCATTTGCGACAGAGGGACCCAACTTCTCTTACCTGTCCGCTGACACCTGGGACTCCACGCAGGGGAGCATAATTAATATTTAGTTTCAGGGCATTTGACCATTCAGACCCAGAAAGTACTTGCTTATCATACATGTATTTGTTGGCTTTCGGGGTCTCTTTAAAATGGCGAACTCCAATGCCCTGCCACCTGCAATTGTTCCATTCCTCAAACGAATTTTCTCGAAGCGACTGCCGTAGAGCTCTCATATTCCGAATACCCCGATCAACCCCCAATCTCTAATGAGAAACCCCCAATAATAAAAAATGAGAAAATAAAATAATTAGATCTAGATAAAATAGGTCTAAATAAAATATTAGAAAAATAAAATAGATAGATATAAAGTAAAATGAAATTGTTAGAATAATGACTAAGAACTAAGAGATAAATAATAAAGACTGTTACATAGTGTGGAATGATGAAGTAGGCATAATCAAAAAGGGGGTGACAAAAGTGTTACATTGGGAATCTTGGAATAAAATGTAAGAACATAAAAAAGAAATATAAAGTTATATAAGAAATGAAAATAAAATAAATAGTAAAATTAAAAACATTGAGAATGGAGTAGTTAGATAGAAAATTGAGATATTGTAAAGCCTATCAAGATGTACAGACAATGTATAATATAATAAAGAGTTAACAACAGAGAAAAGGAAGTAAAAAAGAAGTACTTCCTTTCTCCTTAAGTGTCAAGGGGAGAATAAAGTCGTTACAAGGAAGGTGGAGAGAGAACATTCACATCCATTCTCTCTCCACCTCCCTTGTAACGACTTTATTCTCCCCTTGACACTTAAGGAGAAAGGAAGTACTTCTTTTATTTATTTCTTATTTCAGCTTTCTCAATTTCTTCCCTCCTTCCTTTCGTTCCTTTTCTCTGTTGTTAACTCTTTATTATATTATACATTGTCTGTACATCTTGATAGACTTTACAATATCTCAATTTTCTATCTAACTACTCCATTCTCAATGTTTTTAATTTTACTATTTATTTTCATTCATTTCTTATATAACTTTATATTTCTTTTTTATGTTCTTACATTTTATTCCAAGATTCCCAATGTAACACTTTTGTCACCCCCTTTTTGATTATGCCTACTTCATCATTCCACACTATGTAACAGTCTTTATTATTTATCTCTTAGTTCTTAGTCATTATTCTAACAATTTCATTTTACTTTATTTCTATCTATTATATTTTTCTAATATTTTATTTAGACCTATTTTATCTAGATCTAATCTATTTTATTTTCTCATTTTTTATTATCTTTTTTACCATCATTACTTATGTTTCTCATACCTTGTTATCTGGTTATTTTCTTAGCCCTGATGAAGGCCTGAACTTCAGGTCGAAACGTCGGTATATGTAAAAAATAAATATTATAATTTATTTTTTGCCTTCCTTTTTTGACCACCCCAACTATTCTTCTCTTCATCATCCGGGTCTTGCTGTACACATCAAAATCTTCAAGGTCCAATTTGTCCCGTGTCGATCTACAGACTTACCACCGTTCCAGTAAGAAAGCCTAGCAAAATGTTTTATTTATTTTAGAACGAAAAACAAAAGTGGATAATACGATTCCCCCGTGAAATTCTGAATCCAATGGTACCTCACTCATGGCATTTGAGCAGGACAGGAGCTTATATTTGGTACAAAACCGATTTCGAGCCTTACTGTGTAATGGAAAAACAAGAAACAAAAGCTTTGCAACAGTTAATTGTAGTCAATTTCGTTGACAACACAGGTAGGTACTTTTAGGTGACAAGATGAAAAATCACATTTCTTTACACATGAGGTGAATATCAAGAACATGCCTAATAAACCTCAATTTAATTGATACGAACGAAGAGGTTTTTTTTCTAAAAGTGGGTTATCTGCAGTATAGTTGGATAATGATAAAAAAGAAAAATCGACAATAATTTATGATTTTTTAAAAAACAAAACTTAGGTCAAAGTTTCTCAAAAGTCCTCTTTAAATTGTTTTAACAATGACAAGCTCTGTTTTCATTTGAAGAAAGTTTTATCTAGTTTACAGTGAAAAACTTGTTAATTACTTAAATTAAATATTTCTTCAGTTATCGCTTCCAATTCAACAAAAAGGATGACATTTAAAAAAAACATTAAACTAGGATTTCCTACTTGTCTGCTGAGAATTGACCCATTGTTTATATGAACGTTTTCGTAGCTCATGAGTTCTGCTATCACTCTAATAAAAAAATTCCTCTACTGTATATGACGTATATAGAAATATAACAGTATTTCAATAACGAAAAGTGCTACGAAACAGAAATTGCGTATTATATTATGACTGGCCTCTTATAGCATCATTTACGTCAAAATCGGATAACCGTAATCGCCACTTTATATTATTGATTTTACACCTTTTTACAATTTTATCGAAAACGGCTCTAATTATTTTCATTAAATTCATTATATGAGTGTAAAATTAAGCCTTTTTTAATATCATATAAGTCTTGTTTTCATTGATGTTCTCAGACGACTGATGACCACACCCCCGTGTACTTAAATCGGGCACCGGGATGTGGTCTAGGAGACTACTAAAAAAAGAATATTTTTTTTTTTTACAGACGTCTAATTTATTATATTTATGTTTTTTATTTTTTATTTATTGGAAAAGTTATTTATTATAATATAATAAATAATTAAACTATACACTCGTAAAAGGAAAAGATTAGTTATAAATAAAAAATAAAAAACATAAATATAATAAATTAGACGTCTGTAAAAAAAAAAATATTCTTTTTTTAGTAGTCTCCTAGACCACATCCCGGTGCCCGATTTAAGTACACGGGTGTAGGGTCATCAGTAATACGCTCGGTTGGTGTGAGTTGCCTCCAGTAGGCTGACGGATCTCACATACCGGGGGGAGGAGATCTCGGTCAGCGTGGCATTCCCTGATGGACGGTCTCCCTAATCGTGCGGTCACTTATCCAAGTATCCAAGTGCTAACAACGTTCGGCGTTGCTTAACTTTGATTACCTCTTGCCACGGGCGGATCTACGGGGGGGGGGGGGGGGCTTTCGGGCTGAATGGAAAAATATAACCATGTTTTATGAGAAAAGAAAATTAAAAAATACCTCTTAAAGTATTATTGTTCGTGTAATTACATTTAAAAGTACTTAAGGAATCACTTAAATACCATTTCATATAGGTAGTTAGTTTCTTTCTGTTTTTCCAAAGTAATTATCGTTATTTTTATGAAAAAAAAAGGTTTCGGGCTGAAGCCCCCCCCTCCCCCCTCAAATTAAATCCTGGATCCGCTAGTGCCTCTTGCAAGCGCCTTAGCCCGTACGGCTATCCCAGCCACCATTTTATATATATATATATATATATATATATATATATATATATATATATAATGATAATTGATTGTTTCAATCGAAATGTTGTATCTTCTGTAATTTTTACTTTTTCCTGAAAACATCTATTTTTACTAAAATAATGGTGATATGTGAAAGTTCGTGCACCGTACCAGTTTTTTTACTTACCCAGCCCCAAGAAAACTTTTCCTTTGGACGTTCACTAGTCCTAACTACATTATGTTTCACAAGTTCGTCTTCGTTCTGGTTGTTCTCGGAATTCGCAAAATATTTTAAATACCTCAGAATTTCATTTTGTGGTAATGCATTTACGGAATATATGTCTGCGGACGAAGACTTTTCCAATGGCCTCTTTATATCTCTCAAAACTATTCCTGAAATATGGTTTAGAAAATTATTTCTTTGAATGTAATAAATTATTTCATTTTTGGTAAACTATATTACCCTAATCATTTTATTTTATTAGCCAAAAATACCTTATTTTTCTTCAATGAAAAAAATCTTTTCATTCTCAAGGTCAAAAAAGAAAATGGTACTTACCCTTTAACGGGGTCTACTTATTCTTTCAGTTGCATTTATGTTGCGTACGATAAAAGCTAGTTAATTTATTATTAATTGTCATCTAAGAGAAGAGCTTGCCTATACTTTTCTACAGCCCGGGGCATTTCCGAAAACGCATTTATTCACACAGAATCACGCTTGAAAGAAGGTAAGAAGGTACAGAGGTACAGGAAATCATCACTTGAACTCATACCTAGCTGAATTTTTGTCAGGAATCGACAGGGATGCTTTCGAAGACATATCATACAAAATTAAAGAATAATGACTTCCAGAAATCAACTGGTAATGTAAATATAAACTAATGTTAATATATCAATTAATTCGTAAGGTAACACATGCGAAAGAACAAGTGGCCTCCGTTAAAGGAAAAGTACCAGACAATACCAACGCAATGCGAATTTCGGGAACCATCCCCGATCTTTGAACTGTCTTATTTGTAGTGTGAAACTAGCAAACAATAATCAGTTGTTTTTTTTTCTAGACTTAGGTATATAAATAAAAACTAAATTCTCAAACTAAAATATTGAAAATTACTAACCATCTACCTTATCAATGTCGATAGTCTCTGCTACAACGCCGTGGTCTATTCTAGAAATGTAACTAGATAAAATAAAATCTTGTCTATTTGACCTCGGTATGGCGTTGTCGGAACAAGCTGAAAATATAATTTAAAGGAATAAAATTTAAAATTGATTTTTTTGAAATCTTATGGTTTTAATATAACATAACTTTGTACGAAAGAATCCCAACAAAATATATTAATTAAGAAAATTTTTCGTTGAATATCACTTCATGTGAAATATATTTATAAAACAATAAAGAAAGAAAAAAATAATATTTACTCACTTCGGCCATTGCAGTGAATGAAAGTTACTTACATTTGATTTTAGGAGGTGAATGCAGTGCTTTTCTGTCCCTGAAAACAAGGGTAAAAAATATTTAACGAAATAAAAACTAACATGATTGTAACAGTTTTATCATTTACTATTACTTTTAGCATAAACATTATGTAATGATAGAACTGATAAAAGTGATTTCAATGTGTTTTTTGATTCATAAAGTAAACAATTAATGGTTATATAGTATCTTAGCTCCTTCGTTAAACAATACAAAAATTAAATCATTTAAAAAAAAAATTATTTTCTTGTTTTGGGCCTTCATCAGTCATGCTCGTAAGAAAATTATCATTTTTTTTTTTTTACTTCACTGACTGCTTTCCCTAATAAACTTCTCTCACTATATAATTATTTCTAATTCTTATTGATTTTCTATCCTGGGTAGAAAATTATTTTCCACGAAATATGGTTTTGGCTACACAACAATGCAAAATTATCATTTGTAAGATTAATCGGAATTCAGCATTACACTGACGACTGATCATTACACTGAACTCTTTTAAATGATGTCTTAGGTCTCTACTTAAAATATGTTTATCATATACTAAGAACTAGTAATATATTGAGGATAAAATTCACAATAAGAGTAATTTCATATAGATAATATTGAAGCCTCCTAAACCATTCTAAATCAATATTTAAAAAAAAAATTAAATAATCTTAAAATTTATCGAATTATGTTGGAGGAGGAGATATGTTTTCATTGAGTGTTGAACAAAATACCACAAAACCAAATGATAAAAAACGGAGTAGTTGAAAGGTGTCCAGGTAATAAAATTCGAAAAGAAATATACAAATAAAATAAATAATAAAACCTAACTAACCTTAAGGTTCTTTACCGATAACATTATTCCTCCACTCAACACTAACAAGACCTATATTGTTTCAATCGCTTTTGATTAAAAATAAAAAAGGCTGAACAAATGAATAACGAAAATGGTCAATACTACGTTTACCTAATGCTACATATATATTCTCTGATAGTATTAGAGGCCCTGAGCACATTTAGAAAGTAAGAAAACCTAGATGTTCCAGCAATGTGAAGAAAGGTATTCATGGGTACATCAGTTCCTGGTCGAAGATCCATTGCCCTAAGTATTGGAATTAAAAAAATAAATAATTAAAACAATTATAATACAATTAAAATATATAGTAATGAGATATACATAATAAATATAATTTAATAAATGATATAAATATAGTTATGATGTGTAACACATTACCATCAGAGTGATCTCCTTCAAAATAATCTGAACTATTTTTGATCAATGTTTATACCTGGTCGACAACAAGGCTCAACTAACAAGTATTGTCGGTTTTAAGAGCAGTGAACGATTAATTAAGAATAATAATTACCTTTATAATTACATCGCTTAAAATTTTTTTCTAGAACAATTATGAATCAACAAAATAAATGAAAAATTTAATAAAAGTTATTTATATGTGAATGTATATACAGAGAGAGGTAGCTCAGTGTGTAAGGTACTGGGCTCCAACACTGAAGGTCCCAGATTCGGGTCCAGCTGTAGCAAGAAATTGTTTATTGAATGAATGAATGAATGAAAATAATTTTATTATTCTGGGACTTATGTCCCTTTAGAACAAGTCACAAATACAGATAAATATTAATATTTTGGTGTGTCCGTGAAATACAATTTAAGATTTACAGGTTGATTCGGAGTACAAAAAAGTTATAAATGATAAAAAGATATAAATACGTGTAAATATAAAATATACAGAGAAAGTAATTAAGTGAACGAAATATCGATGAATTACAAAATAATCAGAGTATCTGGGTGTACTTTGAGGTTTTTGCAGCTTAGGTTTTTAAGTGCATTTCGTGATCAATCGGATTGGGAATGGAGTAGGTGTTCGAAGAGGAGAGATTTGAAACAGGATATCGATTTTGCGTGTCGAATATCTGAAGGTATAGAGTTCCAGAGGGAGACAACTTGTATTAAAAAAGATTTATCAAATGCAGCAGTTCGGTGAGGAGGAGGATAGAGGTCGGACGCACGGGATTTGGTGGGACGGGATTAAAAGGAGCGTTTGAATTGTAGAATCTGTAGAATATAGACAGGTCGCCGTGTTGTAATGGCTCGGTATAGGAAGGTATTCTGTTACATCAGCTATGGAATCTAACTTGGGATCAGCAGACACCCATTTTGTCACTTCATATGGGCCAGCTGATTCCGAAAGCGATGTTATCATCACGCTCAAAGAAAATATACATGTTTCTTTATGCTTATTTTTGTATACCTCAATGTTACTTCTATTTCAACATCGATCGAAATGTTAGGTCCATCACTCGACCTTCGAGAAGCTTGTACAGACTGTATCAGAGCGGTGAATTCTTGTGGAGATAGTTTATCATCTTTGCTCAAGTCAAAACACCTGAAATGTTTACCGATAATTTATTTGTAAAATAATAATTTATGTAATACAGAAACGGAGATTATTTATCCTACTTGAAAACAAATCTATTTCTGGCTTCTAATGCATTCCCTTTGAACTCTGCGAATGGATCCACAGCATATATCAAATAAAGGAATTCTCGAAACGTTATGCCACGTTTACCATCCATATCGGCTCCCCTATAAAAAAAAAATAAAACTAAAAATCTTAAAATGTGAACATATTTAAACTATTAAAATTTAATTTAATAAAATTTTAACGATATGATCATTAAAATCATAAATTATAATAACAGTGGTGTAAGAAAAATGCATACCAAACAAACGAATTGTATGAACTGAACATGAATAAACATGTAAATTAAGTAATAATCATATATAAAAGAAATTGATAATATCCTGTCTTTACATGCTTACATTATTTACTTGTTTTTTATTTAATTATATTTCTTTATTTTGTGTAAGTTTTTTTTATCAATACTGAGCATTCAGGTGCTAGTTCTTCAGTTCTTTTATATCTAAATTATTTATCTATTTTCCTACTATTTTTGTAGTTTGATTTTATATTACTATATGATTTTTATCTTCATTGTATCCTGTTCTTTATGACCATGAAGCAGACTCGCATCGTGGACTGAAACTTCAGCTTGATTTAATTAAGATTCTTTTAAAACATTAAAATCTATTACGTCTTATACTTGCATTATTATTATGTTATAATTGATTTGATACTCCCAAAGACGTTTACTGCTATGCCAAATTACCTAAAAGCCGTGATCCGTAAGTAATCATTCCAACCTACAACGCTTCCAAACCTGTATAGCCCTTGGGTTCCCATAATAATATTTGGATAAGTGAATTTCAAATATTCATTATGTAATACGGTTATATCTGAAATGGAAATCAATCAATGAAAATTTCTTATAGTCAATCATTGAATTTGAAGGACCTAGTAATTTACCCGAAACTGTAAGAGTTAAGCCGCTGAGTAAATTGTCATAAACATGGTTTCGACTATTCTCAATAACTTGTTCTTTTGTGACTTCTACTAAATTATAATCTGAAATGAAAAACAGAAAATATAAGTTTTAAAAAAAAATATGATCCTTTACAAAAATTGTATTATATAGTGACTGAATTATCAGACATACTTTGAACGATAGCGCAGCCCTTCAATAATGCCAAATTCGCAGCCGGTTCATGTCCAATAGTGATATGGATAACAACGTCAGGGCACATCATATGCTCCTCTGAATAGTACAACTGCTCAAAATCTTCCTGAGTCATCCACGATGTTTTGCTAACCTTAATTCACAAACAACAAGTAAGAAAAATTAATTATCAAAATACCTAGGCAATTCATCAATTCCATCATCTTGACTTTTATATACATCTATAATTAAAGAAAAAGGTCTTTGAAAGTTCTATATTAACTGTTGCCACCTATGGTTGTCAAACATGGTCACTGAAAAATAACCAAATAATAAAATTATCAGTTGGCAACGGTCTGTAGAGCGAAGCATGATAAATTTGAGAAGGCGGGACCTTGTTAAACTATCAGCAGTGAAAGAGAGAACTGATCTTAAGGATACAACATTACAGATCAAGATGCTCGAGTGGAAATGGGCAGGCCATGAGCTACGAAGAGATTGTCCCAAGTAATAACTGAGTGGATACTTCTTGGATTTAAGAGAAACAAAGGAAGAAACCTCAATAGGTAGAATGAAGGAAAATTTGGGTCCCACCTGGTGAAGAATGGCGAAGGACAAGAAGGTATGGACAGCTAATTGGAATGAGTTGAACACAACTCCCTCTTCCCTTTTCCTCCTCTTCCATTTTCAAACATCAAACCCATCCGATCCTTTCATCCCTAAGTCCTTCTAACAATAGTCGATGCTCCTTTTTATGTAACTAACAAAATCCTACACCATGACCTCAACATCCCATTTGTCCTAGACCTTATCCCAGAAAATTTCACCAAAACCTTACTAACCATCCAAATACTTGCTCAATCCCTATCAAGCACCACTTATTCCAATAATCCTCTAAGAAAGTTAAAACGGCAGTGGCTCCGCGACCTTTTGTAGTTTAAATAAATTGGAGTTCTGGCAATGGTCGGATTCTATACTCAAGACGTGTGTATGTGGCTAAAGACCAATCATCACTGGCTTTACTACCAGTGAAGCGATTGATTCATCCATTGATATTTTTATTGTCTTAGGGTCTAGGGCCCTTTCTTACAGACAAGAATAAAGTGACATTATTTAATTAACATTTTTCAAAAGAATAATATTAAGAACATCATAAGAACGCTGGTTTATGTCAACATTATTTCTTTCCTATTTATTTAAGAACGTTATTTTTAAAAGCTAGTGGAATATTAGTTTTTAATAATTAAACCCAATCTTGCAACGGCGGTAGGCAGGAGCTCGACGAAGTAAGAAGTAAGTAATAATTAAAATTACAACAAGTTGAAATGAGATGAGGACATTGGCCGATTTTGGATGGAGTGCGGAGAAATCTCGCCTAAGGCGCCTACAATTCACGCAACGATCTTGAACAGGAGGCGCCATCTTCGAAATTTGTTTTAAAAGATTATATATTTTTTACATTAACGTATCAGCTACTCACTTGATTCAGCTTATAAATCTTAGCTTTATTTTTGGTGTCTTTACAGATAGGTATTTCAAATATTGTATTAAGAAGATATGGTTCCTCATCAGATTTCCAAAATCGAATAATTCTCCACAGATGTGCATTAATTTCTACTGTGACTCCAAGATACTAGAAAAATACATTAAAAAGTTATAATGAAATAAACAGATATTCAATAATTGCTCAATAAATCTAGGATTCTAACAAAGTACTCAAAACGGCTTAAGTGTGAAGATAATGTTTTCTATTTTTTTTTAAATAAAAATTTTAAATTTATTATTTTTGCCTTGAAACCATACTAAATTTGAAAAGATTGAATCTATAATTAAAACTATTATAGAATTATTATATTAAACATAATAAAGAATCCAGTACAAAAGGGCACTTGAAACAGAAAATCCATGGAGGTTACCTATATACTCGTAATACTCGATTTTTTTTTTTTATTATTGATGATATTTACACCTGTATTACAAGTAAAAATACATACAAAAGGAATAAAATAACATGAAATCATTTGTTGAAAAACTACCCACTGGTAGCACTCTAAAAAAGTATTTACAAAAGGAGATCTCGAGGCCATCTTCTTTTCAGACGGGTTGTCAGGGATCGAAGTCAAGGTTAGAAACGAGAGGGTTTGGATGGTTCTGAACTTTGTTATGGAAGGATAGGTAACTGGATTGGGCCAGATCAAAAACATAAGGAACATTAAGGTCGTTATGGATGATTTTGTTTGTGACAAAATAAGGAGCAGTGAGGATTTTACGAAGGATTTTGGATTGTAAGGATTGGATATGAGAGGAATTCGATGGCTTAGTGGAGCCCCAGAGCTCAACTCCATCCAACTCAAAGTCCAAATAGGTCTTATTGTAGTCATGTATATGAGTCTTTTGCAATTGACTGGGAGCTTAGAGCGTTTGTCTAGTAAGTGCTGGAGTAGTCGGAAACGTCGAGCTGTTTCTTGTCCTTTCAGTCTGGTATGAGGATTCCAAGTTAGACGTTTGTCTAAGTGGAGTCCAAGGTATCGAATTTGTCCAACAGGGAAAAATGGGGTATTATTAAAGGATACTGTAGGACAAGAGGACATAGGTTTACGACGAAGGGTAAAGGTGATTTGGTGGGATTTATTGGAATTTATTTTTATCTAGTTTTAGAATCTAGTTTTGACACCATTCTTCAAGGTTTGTGATGTGTAATTGAATGGTTTGGGATGCAATTGTTGGATCGTTATTAACTGATAGGACACATGTATCATCGGCATACGTGGTAATGACTATGTTAGGATGGGTTGGGATATCAGCTGTATAAACTGTGTAAAGGATAGAACCTGAATAGGCATTGTTATGATTGACTTTGAAGGATCTATCAGTTGGATAGGAACGGATAATGAGGAAGTATGTAGGGTGTAGAAATTTACGGAGTTTGTAAAGCAGTCCTGGGTGCCAGACTCGATCAAAAGCATGATGTGATCGAAATTAAAATAAAAATTATCTGAAATCTCTAGTAACTGAAATCTAACACCTCAGTAAAAAATGGGGGTTGGCAAATATAATGAGTAGGGGTATTAACTTAGGTACTAATTTAAAAATTCATCACAAAGACTTAAATCACAAAGAAATAAAAAAATGCATTTTTGTTTAGATTTGGTAATATACCAAAAAGATAAAATTACCAGGATCATAGAGATGGCTATCCCAAACTGGCGGATCTACGGGGAGGGCTTTCGGGGACTAAATCCCCTCTCCTCCAAAATTGTAAAATATAACCATGTTTTATAGAAATAAATATATTTAAAACTATCTCTTAAAGTATTATTGTTCGTGTAATTACATTTAATAGGACTTCAAGGATCATTTAAACAACATGAGACATATATAGTTAGTTTCTTTCTTCTTTTTTTTTTTCAAATTATGAAAAAAAGCTTTCGGGCTGAAGGCCTCCTCCAAAATTAAATGCTGGACCCGCTAGTGGGGCCAAATGATTCAAACTTACCTAGAGAAAATAATAATGGCCGCTATAATTATTTCCTCAAATGGTCTCATATTGAAAAGCGCAAGAGAAAAAAATTATGTGCGCTTTAACAGCGTTCTCAAGTATCTGCATGAGGTATATAAAAATTAAATGCTCTTTCAAAATTTTTATGATAAATTTGTTCAAGAGATGCATAGATTTTGAATTTGGGGAGGGGGAGCAACGAAAACAGCTATTTCTTGTGAAAGAAGTAAACAGCTAACTTGCTGTAACTCCTCATCTTTTGGTCTTACACTAAAAAGTTTATTCTAAAAATATACAGAAGATTTTATGTTCTTTAACTTTGTTTACAGTAATAATTTCGATAAAATATATCGTTTTGGAGACACAGCCAAAAACAACAAAAAATGCGAAAATTTTGAGGTTTTTTTGCATATATCTCGGATAGCAATCGAAAATTTCGTTATAAAACTTCAAATTCAGATTTAAAACACTAAAAAACATATCAAAACGAAGACAAACCAGAATAGAGACTATTTGCTATTTTTCCACATTCTAGTATCAGTCTACTGGACTAATTTGATATATTTGACGTCAGTTTTCAAAGTACAATAGAGTACATCGTCAGTCGAGGTGAATTCTCTTTTAGAGACATATTCTAAAAATTATATCCCGATTTCAGCCGTCAATCTACCGTTAAATGAAATGTCAAATGACGCTAATTTAATTTAAATTTTCGTACGGAGAGCAACGGCTTTCAACCGACTGACCAAAGTTGTGTGCTCAGATGAGGTTTATCTACAATTTAAATTGTTTAATTACAGTAAATCCTTCAGTTAAATGAAATGATCGGTAGCTTCTAGTCCATAACTACTTATCAGTCTGAATAGTCCGAGATGGAATTCAGATTGCAGATCACGACTTTTTTAATAAAAAATAACATATCTCCACCATTTTTCAACAAATATTAAAAAAACTATTTTCGAACATTCCTCTTGCTTATGACTATAAAAAACATATGAAACATTATTTTCTATTTGTCAATAGTTCCAAAGTTAAGAGCGGTGACAGAATTAGAATAAAAAAAATTTCGCTTTTTTGACCCCAAAAATATCAATTTACAGCTCGTTTATCATTTTTTATCAGGTGAACTTCGATTGTATCCAAAACGAGCATCTTTGCCGATTATTTTAAACTTCAAGAATGATGGCTTTTGACGGAGATATGAGAAAAAACATAACATAGGACAGAAAGTTATAGGTGGCCACCATTGACCCTCCATTTTGGATAGAAGCGGACATGGGATTTTAGGAAACTTTTCATAGTTTGTTCTTCATTCGATGAGGAACTAATCCCCACATTTACAGCCAATTATGAATTTTCTTGATATCAAATCCTAAATTTACTGGGCTATTATGGAACAGCTGTTTGAAAGGCTGTCTTAATGTTAAAAGTAAGAAGTGGGGTTGGTACGTTGATTCAATCGTGTTTTTACCATTTATTTACGTAATTTGTTTTAGATTGGAGCTTAAAATGTAAACTAGTTATCGAGTTTGAGTTATTTATTTTCGGGTTAACGAGGTTTAGCCGTCCATTAGTATTGTAGATATTAAAATTGCGGATGATGTGGTAGTGTTTAAATGAAGAATGCTAGAGGGAGTTGGAAACAAGTAACCTCGATTTGTAGATTAGAATATCAATTTTAACTTTTCCCCAGTCGCTAATTGAACTAGCTACGCCACTAGACATCACCCACCATCTTTCTTCTATGATATTCTTCCGGAGTATTTTCCCCAAATGCTACTGTGTCACACGGGCGGATCTACGGGGAGGGGGGGGGCTTTCGGGCTGAAGCCCTCCCCTCCCCCCCAAAAATGGTAAAATATAACCATGTTTTATGGAAAAATATATTAAAAAATGATCTGTTAAAGTATTATTGTTCGTGTAATTACATTTAAAAGGACTTAAGGAATCACTTAAACACCATTTCATATAGATAGTTAGTTTCTTTCTTTTTTTCCAAAGTAATTATCGTCATTTTATGAAAAAAAAGCTTTCGGGCTGAAGCCCCCCCCAAAAAAAAAATTAAATCCTGGTTCCGCTAGTGGTGTCTCAAATCATATTGCTATTGCAGGATGATCTCTATATATTTGCACTGCCACATGAGACAAAAACTTGTGCTCCCCAGTTTCTCACTAAAAAGGTGCCAATCTGCTCTTCATGAGCGAAAGCTAACAGAAACATTTATTATTTTTAACCAATTTTATTAATGGCTACAACAAACTAGGATTAATTTAAATTTTTCCCATGATAATTATTTTGAGGAGAGAAACTGCGTTCGAACTTGCAATCATTGCCTTAAAACATGGAATTAGTATTTTTATAATAGATTTCAGTCGAATAAACTAACCTCTTTAACAAAGTTTTGAACTTGTAATTTCCAAGAATACGTCGAAACGGGCACATACGGAATGTGATAATCTAAATTATAGTCATGCGCAATCAAGTACGTTTTATCATCAACGCAATATATAACCACAGAAATCACATCAGTCAGCTCACTGACATTCTTGAAGGCTTTGCTAAAATTATTTCTCTTCCGTGTATTAGACATTATCGCTGAAATGTAAACTTCCTTATCACACGTTTGACTTGTAAATTTATCTTTACCAATACGAATAAATGTAGTAATTAGAACTGAAAAACGAATCGACGTACATATGTTCTCTGCAATTTATTTCATCTTGAATTATCGAATTATCATCTTCAAATTGTATTTTACAAAGCAATGGCACATTTTAATCAACTATACTTATTGATTTTCAAAAGTCTTTAACAGTATTCTTATATTTGGTCTGCAATACTTGACATACGTTTTTAAATGAGTTCTTAGTTACTGTGACTCAGTAAAGCACAAAAATTTGAAAATGTCATAGTGGACTTATACAGCCTCAAATATCTGCAAATGCTTGGAAAATTAGGTGCATAAGTAAATTATATTTTTATAAAATAAACCCGATATTTTTAAAAATCTATGCGAGACGTATAAAATTAAAAGTTTACGGTTAGTAGAAAAAATTCATTTAATTTCATTGGAAACATGTGATTGGAAACGTTAAACAATATTATTTTTCTAAAATTATTATTTTTTTTTTTTTGTCACTCTCCTTTACCTTCTACAACTTTATTTATTTGATATTATTTTTTCTATAATTCTCCGCTTTCCAACGATATATTATAGGTATACCTTCTGAATGTTATTTCCGGAGATTCATTTTCAACCTGGATAAGTAAGTATTTTCCTTTTTTTCTCCAGTTTCTAATTATCATATTCTTTCAAACTTCATATTTAGCCATATTTTATATTTACTGTGAATAAAAGAAAGTTAATACCTTTAAATAATCCATATTAAAGGTACTTTAGAGAAAGACGTATATGAACATTGGACATTTAAGCCCTGTAAAGTGACACCAATGCGAATAAGAACTAAATGATATTAAAAAATACCACTTAATTATACAATAAAACACTGAGTTTAATTAAAATCGTTAGAGCAGTTTTTGAAATAAATATAAACATGTGTTTTACCGTTGCTATAAAGTGGCATTTATGGTAAGCCGATTTTAAGGAAAAAGTTGTAACATCTGAGGCATATAAAAACCTTAAAAATGCTATTTCACTTTCTTACGACTTCTCGTTTTTGAGCTAGAAGCATTATTATTTTGCAGGCCTTTAAGATCCACTTAGGTATCATCTCATCATTCCGAATAATTACCGTTATTAAAAAATCAAATCCTAGATCTGCCACTGATGTTGGGGGCCTAAGTTGAGCCCCACATACATTATACAATTAAATAACAATGACTTTTACAATGGAATAGTCAGATTTTAAGAGTTTTTGCCGAACAGGAGTGCCCAGAAGGGGGTTTAATGGCGCAAGTTGAGCCATCACAATTGTTGAGAGGGCACATTTTGAATTTTTGAGAGCACATTTTCACGAAATTTTAAATTTTTGAGGGGGGCACATTTCGACGGATTTATGAATTTTCGGATTGAAAAGTTTCAAACAACAAGACAAAAGGAATACATGGAAAAAATTAATTAAATGTAATTGTATATGATTTACGGATCTTTTATTTCTAATGTTTTTAAGAAGAGGAGAACAATAAAATATCTTAGGGAGGGGAGGAGAAAGATTCATTCGCCATCGACCTTAGGGGAGATGGGCACCCTTGGGGCCTAAAGTATTATTTCCATATACAACAAATATGAACGTCTCCCAACCAGATAACAATAAAATTCTAAAGATCATCAAAATCATACAAAAAAAAAAAAAAGATTATCTAAATTTATGATAGATGGAATCATAAAAATAGTTCACCCCCAAGGTCTAAAAAATAGTCTGCCAACTGGAGAGGGCGCAAGTCAAAACCCCATTCTTGTTTTCATAAGATCTTGACTTATTTGAAGATGGGTGGTATCTTTTCTATAAAAAAAAGGTCTGCCAACCGAAAGTGGATGCGTTCCGCCGAAAAGCGCGAGTCAAAGATTAAATAGGAAAGAAATCAACTTTTTTTTCCTCTCAATTTTTCTGATTACATGTGTGGAAGCCTTTTCTAAATAAAACTAGTCAATCCAGTAACCAAAAAAAAGTTTACAAATCGGAAATGGTCGTGTTTCACAACTCTACTTAAAAAGTAAACCATGAAACCCGAAACCATTAAATGCGCGGCACAAAAATTAAACAATTTCGGGGCACCTTCTTATAATTACAACAAAGTTTTTACCCTACTTGCGGAATAGAATCTTCACTCATTTTTCGTGCAATATATATAAAACTATCCCATACAATATTAAATTTGATTAATGTTAATTTTATTTCTGTTATTATAAATATGAAATGTGTATTTATACATTTAATGTATTCATTTTTAGAATGTCTACTCATCAAATTAACAATGTTGAACTTAAATGGTATTTCCATTAAATGTTACTCCTGGCATGCACCTGTAATTTACTAAAGAAAGGCCACAACATCCAGTTTGAGAATTCTTAGTTCATCCAATGAATAGTAATTCTTACTTAACTTAATTTTTCACTATTTCAACTTCACCGAAAAAGAAACAATCTGATATAAACTAGAAATTGGTTTAGCTTAACGACAACTATTTTGAACACAGTAAATTGAATCACAATCATTCTCTTCTTTTGGTTTTTTCAAGTCAAGAAAGAAAAGGATAATCCATTGACATCATGTTTTTTTATTGATCCCAGAAATAGTTTTAGTTCAAAAGATAAGGTAAAAACAGTAATACCTATTTTACACCGACTCATGGATTGTTAATATTTTATTGATGACAAGTAGCTTTACAGTAAAATATTTTTCCTCTCATTAAGCATAATTATTCCATCTGTAATTGTAATGCATTCTAAAGCTAAAATATCATAATTATGTGATTGAAGTGTTTAAAAGTAAAATAATATTAAAATAGATGAAATTATGTAATATTAGGGTCAGTGCTGGCCTTAGCCATTTGCCGACTCCAGACAATGACATCTTCTCCCCTCCTCTCCTCTCTCCAAAAAGTAATTTATTTCACTTATTAAGTTTCTTTATTAATAAGAACCCCTTCCAGGGTGACTGCCCCTCCCTAAGGCCGGCACTGACAATGGTACAAACATAATAATAAAATTATTCATGTATAAAATTTGTATGTGTACAAAAGAAAAAGTGTAAAATATAGAACAAGCAATTCTTTAAAAGTTTGCTTTAAAGCACGCAACTATAATTCCTATTACTAACTTTTAAAAAAATCATTAATTATAGCAAAAATTTCAAAAATAAATACGAAAATACTATAATCTAAAATTCAACTGGACAAATTTTAAAAACCTTTTCAGCGCAGTCTTTCCATGTACAACAATGTCAAATTTAGATTATCAAAAACTATCAATAACACAAAACAATAAAAAAAATTTTTTTTGATAACAATATATGCCAATAATGTGGACTAAAAGGGTTCCAGAATAATTTAATAAAAAGTATACAAATGAATAAATATCAGCAATATAAAAACAAACTTAAGGTAATAAATTTTAATACATCAAACTTAAAACTAAGAAAATATTTACAATCCAACGTATACCGCAGCACATCTATTTATATCTAATTAAAATTATTTATTTTAATATTCTTTCTTCGAAACAACCAAACGTTTCTGCACCATCAATGAAGAGTACAGAGATTTGGAAGCATTTTTTCAAGCTCATTATTCTAATGATCTCTTTTATCTATACTATCACGGTTATTTTAGTCTTCCTCAGATAGTATCCCAATTGTCAGGAACTTAATACAGCAGACATTCTACTACATCTTCAAAACTATAATCAATATATTTGATGGGCCTAGAAGCAAATAGGCTCAATTTTTTTTTTTTTTTTTTCCTAAAGTTACGCGAAGTGTATGAATTAACACTACATGTGCATGTAATCAGGGACGAAATGATCTAAGTAACAAAACAGTTTTAAAACTACCATATAGCATAAATGAAAAATTAAGAAAAAAAATAATGCTTAGAAATTTCTCACATAAACAAATATACATGAATCTCCCATAAAGGAATATGCACTTCATGGTGTTAGAATATTTGGAGTAAACAAAAAATAATTTAAATGAAAATAACTCAATATTTAAAATTTATTATCTGGGCTATACTAAAATTATCATATTAACATATACTAAAAAATAACTAAATTACAGTGTGTATGGAACAATGATTATAATGGAATTTTTCAAGGATTATCAAATAAACATATTATTATCTAAAATAACCATTTAAAAAATATTAATTTATACTAAAAATAAATAGAGGAACTAAACGTTATAAAACAATAAAATACCTGATACATAAAATATCATTAACAATGATAAGTATATGCACTTAAAAATATTATTATAAAAATCTAAAAAAATATTTCTTTAAATTCACAACCATTATCTTTATCACACAATAAATGTCATAAGAACTAAATATATAAACTAGAATATAATCCATTATAAAAATACGTTACTAAATATTAGAAATTAGTCATTTTTATTTTGAAGTCTCATTATTTTATTGTAATCCATGTTTTTTTCTTTCTGGTAACTGATGAACTTACTCAAAAGGATACTATTGACATCAAGCAACAGTGAGAAAAATAGACAAAGATATCCCATAAATATGTTATGTAATTTTAATAATTAATATAATGTGGAATAATATTCTCAAAGGGAATTAAAAGAAATGAGTTCAAAAGAACTAATTTAAAAAGTGTAGGTATAGGACATGTCTGTTTAATAAATGTGTAACTTAATCTTGCTTTTTAAGTTGATTACCTAACAATTTAATCCTCTTTTTAGCATTCTTGATCCAAGAGTGATTTTGGTATTCTGCAGTTATCATAAGCAAACCAAAGCATAATGATAATGTTGTAACAGTGCAAGTCAAACCTTTATAATCAAAGCTGAAAAATATGAAAGGGAAACACACTAAAATTGTTCCTATTACAAACATGTATTTCCTAATACTTCTTTTGATATAGTGAACTTCCTTATCACAAATTTGGAGAGCACTCTCAAGACATGATTTCAGACAAGTTTCTCTATCATTCAGTTGGCTTGTTTGTCCAGCAGGCATATTCTGGATATTTAAACACACACCAACAGCTTCATGATCAGAATAACTGAAATTTTTATTAGGAACTTTAGCTTCTAAAGGAAATGAATGATTCAATACGTTTATGTTGATATGCTGTTTAGACTTAATGAGAATATAATCGATTCGCCTGCCAGGAAAAGACATTTCTAAAGTTTTATCTCTGTAAGTATTTCTAAAACAATCATTTGTTTCAGGTTTCAACTCTTTTATATCAGCTACATCATAAACATCTTCCAAACCAGCAACACATGAAATGATTTTCATACACAAGCTGGAAGGTTCTGCATTTAAATCGCCAGCTAGAATACTTACATCTGCACTTTCAGCAGTTAATTTTATGAAAAGTGCAGTATCAAAG